GCTGTCTCTTTGCTGGGCGGGCTAATGCTGTGCGGGCTGTCTCTTTGCTGGACGGGCTAATGCTGTGCGGGCTGTCTCTTTGCTGGACGGGCTAATGCTGTGCGGGCTGCCTGTTTGCTGGACGGGCTAATGCTGTGCGGGGTGCCTGTTTGCTGGACGGGCTAATGCTGTGCGGGCTGCCTGTTTGCTATATGGGGATGTCTGTTTGCTGGACTGGGCCGTTTCTTTGCTATATGGGGATGTCTCTTTGTTGGATTGGGCCATCTCTTTGAATATACAGTGAAGGAAATAAGTATTTGATCACCTGCTGATTTTGAATGTTTGCCCACTCACAAGGAAATGATTAGTTTAAAAATCGAATGGTAGGTGTATTGTAACGCTGAGAGACAGAATAGCAACACAAAATTCAAAAGAAATGCATGTCTAACAAATGATGCACTGATTTGCATGTTCATGAGGGAAACAAGTATCTGGTCCCCTATCATTCAGCAGGATTTCTGGCTACCAGGTGTCTTTCATACAGGTAACAAGCTGAGATTAGAAGCAGTCTCTTAAAGGGAGTGCTGCTAATCTAATTTTGTTACCTGTATAAAAGACACCTGTCCACAGGAGCAATCAAACAATCAGATTCCAAACTCTCCACCATGGCAAAGAGCTGTCCAAGGATGTCAGGGACAAGACTGTAGACCTACACAAGGCTGGACTGGGCTACCAAGCTATCGCCAAGCAGCTTGGTGAGAAGGTGACAACAGTTGGTGCAATCATTCGCAAATGGAAGAAACACAAAACAACTGTCAGTCTCCCTAGGTCTGGTGCACCATGCAAGATCTCACCTCATGGAGTGTCAATGATCTCCAGGCAGCTGGGACCACAGTCACCAAGAAAACAATTGGTAACACACTACGCCGACAAGGATTGAAATCCTGCAGTGCCCGCAAGGTCCCTCTGCTCAAGAAAGCACATGTCCAGGCCCGTCTGAAGTTTGCCACTGAACATCTGAATGATGCCGAGGAGGACTGGTTGAAAGTGTTGTGGTCAGATGAGACCAAAATCAAGCTCTTTGGCATCAACTCATGTCACTGTGTTTGGAGGAGGAGGAATGCTGCCTATGACCCCAAGAACGCCATCCCAACTGTCAAACATGATGGAAACATTCTGCTTTGGGGGTGTTTTTCTGCTAAGGGGACAGGACAACTGCACCGCATCAAAGGGATGATGGACGGGGCAATGTACCGTCAAATCTTGGGTGAGAACCTTCTTCCCTCAGCCAGGGCATTGAAAATGGGTCGTGGGTGAGTGTTCCAGCATGACAATGACCCAAAACACATGGCCAAGGCAACAAAGGAGTGGCTCAAGAAGTACATTAAGATCCTGGAATGGCCTAGCCAGTCTCCAGACTTTAATCAGATTGAAAATCTGTGGAGGGAGCTGAAAGTTCGAGTTGCCAAATATCAGCCACCAAACCTTAAAGACTTGGAGAGGATCTGCCAAGAGGAGTGGGCCAAAATCCCTCCTGAGATGTGTGCAAACCTGGTGGCCAACTACAGGAAACATCTGACCTCTGTGATTGCCAACAAGGGATTTGCCACCAAGTACTAAGTCATGTTTTCTGAAGGGGATCAAATACTTATTTCCCTCATGAACATGCAAATCAGTGCATCATTTGTTAGACATGCATTTCTTTAGAATTTTTTGTTGCTATTCTTTCTCTCAGTGTTACAATACACCTACCATTCAATTTTTAGACTGATCATTTCTTTGTGAGTGGGCAAACATTCAAAATCGACAGGGGATCAAATACGTATTTCCTTCATTGTGTGTGCCATGGGAAAATGCAAAACGCGGCAAAACCACAGTACTGCAATTTTCGCGTGGTCTTGCCACATTTTGCATTTTCCTGCGGTCGGCGGTCAAAACGTTCCTATTCTGAACGCGATTCTTCAGCGTTCAGGAGAGGGAGGTTTTACCTCACCTAAACGCAGCAGCTCCTAAACTCTGCTAAAAACCTATATGTACATGGACACACAGGCTTTTATGGAATTGAGTTTAGGAACTTTGGCAACAAAATGTTTAGGAGCTGCTCATGTACATGAAGCCTAACTCTGTGACTCAGTACACAGCATTCCAGCCCTCACACTCCCTCTCCCAGTATAGACATTCACAGCAATAGGACTGCCCACACTGGTTCCCTGCACTGTACACGCAGACCTCCGCACATTTGCCTGGGAACACTCTGCAGCAGTTCTCCCCCTCTGGTTTTTTTTAGGAGTCTTGGGTGTTTAAGTCCCCAGCCCATTGGCTGTCTTGGCACCATCCATCCACAGAACTGCATGTCCCACTATCCTTGTCCCCACTGCTGCTGCTACAAGGAAGGAGGGGTGGGACAGTGAGCAGGAATTACACAGCCTGCTCTGCTCTCTATGCAGCAGCAACGTAGTGGAGGAGAGCAGGCACAGCAACGCACAGTCCATTCTCCACACACAGCAACAGGAGGGCACGGAATTGCCTTAAGCACTTTATCAACCTCTTCTGAGGCTGACTCTGGATGCAGACAGCATGTTTCAAGAGACGAAGTACTGGCAGCATACAAACTTTCCAGAGCCCATGGCCGTCGCTTGTATGCGACCATGGCACAGAATCGCTGCACACGAGGCAGCGTTTTTGTCGCCTTTGAACATGGCAAACTGTTCTCACCCTTTCAGCCATGTGAATGTAGCCTTGTACAAATGACAAGGCAATGGAAGCAAAATTTTAAAATATTCTTAGTTATTTCTTTATCTTATGCCTTTCTGTAGGCTTTCAGGTTTGTTTTTTACCCCACAAATTTAAAAACTTTAACAAAAAAAGTCAGCAGCAGCCAGCATCTTCAATATCCTGTGCTAGCTCATCAATGACGTCTGTACCTATGCTTGTGCATGCCCTATCTGCTATGGAAGCTTATGGAGCAATGAACTACAAGTTCCATCAGCCTTTGCAGCTGTTGTCTTGCAGTTCTTAATGAATTACCATGGTGCTGTTGAGGCGTTGAGTCTTCCTGTCAGATTGTATCTGTTTGCCTGTATGGGAACACAGATACACTGACAGTTTGCAGGAGTCCTGCATTGCTCCAGCGACCTGCTGATCGCTGGTGCAATGCTATCCAGGCTCCAAAAGAAAAAAAAAGGAAATGGTCATTTTCTTTTTACCTGCAAAAAATGGGCATTTATTTATTTTAAGTGAACCAATCCTTTAACAGTTACTATCAATGAGCAGATTTCAATATGGGTGAAGACATGGCAAGTCATTATGCATGTTGGTGCTTCAGCGATCTCTGTAGCAATTTGCTTTCAAGCTGCTTGTAACAACATAATCAACTGAGCTGTAATTTTTCATGATGTTCCCAGGTTGGGTTTATTAGATCTGGGGGTCTCCAAACATTCTAAACCAAGGGGCAGTTTACTGTTCTTCAGAGGGGCCAGGCTTTGGCCAGTGGAAGTAGAAAATGTCCTGGCATTAGGAGGAAGAAACAAAGCCTTAGCCTTGGTGATCAATGGGAGTAAAAAAAAAATAAAATAAAATTGCATAGCATTTGTGGTCAGTAGGAGGAGGAATATGCCCCATCATTACTAGTAGTGGGAAGAATCGTGCCATATAGTTGTGTCGGTGGGAGTAATACTGCCCCATTATTGGTGTCAATGGGAGGAATAGTGCCCCATTGTTGTCAGTGGCAGGAAAAGTGCCCCATTGTTCTTGTGAGTGGGAGAAATGATGCTCCAGGTTTGGTATCAGTGGGAGGAATAGAGCCCCAAGGGCCAGATAAAGGCAAGCATAGGGCTACATCTGGCCCACCGGTTGGGAGGCCACTGTATTAGACAAATACAGGCCACCAATGACGAAATGGTGTATACAGGGATGTTACCCCAAAAGTAGAAAGCTGATAACTTTACATATATTTTAGTATCTGAGATTCCACTTTAAAGTATATGTAAACTCAGTCACTAATATCTCAGAAAAGCTTTAACATGTTAAAGTAATTTCAAAAACATATTTCAGGATTTCTAATTCTGCAGACCAATACCTAGTGGTCCTCCTTTTTCACGTCATGAACCCCCCCCCCCCCCCTCGTCATGAGAAATGCCATGCAACCATAACTGAAGTGCATGCGTTTAGAGTGCAAATAGCTGAAAAAAGACTGTAGTTGTTTAAGACGTGTAGTTCTTTAGCAGACTGTCATTCATTTAAGGGTTCTATCTACTTTAAAGGAAACTGTGGTTTCCATTCTCATGCATAGGTATAAATATAGTTTGCATTACTGACTTGTAACAAGCATGCAAATTGGAAGTTGCTTCCCTTACTTAATTGGGACTTCACCTGCAGCAATCTTGTATAGGGTTATTGGTTTAAAGTCAGCAGCCAGGTAACTAACATTTACAAAGTGTCTTTATGGAAAACTGGAAAAAAAAAAAAATGAAGACTTTTTGAATGTACCTTATACTGCCATAATGCAACCCTGCAGTGTCTGTGTCAATTCCTGGGAATTTCCTTGGCATTTTTAAGAAATACGCATTTCTTCCCTTCAGTTTATATGCATTAAAATAAAATACTCCAGGTTGCTTTTTTTTTCCCCTGAACCGTTAGCTTTCCTTGAGTTTTAAAATAATTTCTGACAAAATATTTTTATGTTTTAGATGGCGGGGCTAGAAGCCATTCCTAGAAGGCTCCTGGTTAGGACTGCAGTTTCTTATCATGTGTTTCTATGTTGTAAATGATCCCTTTTAATGCTTCAACTGTGGTCCAGTAAATCCACTGTTTGAACCAGGGAGAATACTGGTCTGCATTTCACAAGCTCAGTATGCGAGTGGTTAAAAGATGAGGATATGTATAGCTATAGGAGTTTAGAGAGCTAATCCGCTTTTTTATTCTTTATTCAATTGTGTACAAATACATTGTAGAAAAGTATTTGTGTAGAATTACATTGTTGCTATGCTGAATGCCTTCTGTATTTTTCTTTTCCAGACAATATGAACACCTCTACTCCTCAGTCAGGGGGTCGCCAGAAACCCTTGTCCCCGGATGGAGAATATTTGTCTCCAGCTACTAGGCCGCAGCCAGTCAGTGCAGCAGGAACCCCCACTCTTCAGAATTTCACCAGCAATGATGATGAATGGGAAAGAAAACAGAGGCGTCGCTCCAGGGTGATTGATCTACAGTTTAGTAATGCTGATTCTCCAGCATCTACAATCTCTCCTGCTCAGAGGTAAGTCCTGTCTAACTTCTGCCCAAAAACCCCCCCAAAAAACTGCCTTTTGCCCCTCCCCCCACAGTTTTTTGTTGTTTTTTTTTTATTTGGTCAGAAACACAAAATGTGGACTTTAAATCCACACAAGGTGTGGTAATCGAACTTGACCTCTTTTTACCCTGGTGGAAAATCCTTTTTCTTTAGGCAAAGTTCACATCAGTGCAGGTGATTCCCGCTGCAGGGTCCACACCTGATCCTGCAGCCGCAACCACCCACACAGAAAAATGCAGTGGATGCGTATGGGTGCCATTAATCCTAATGCACTGGGACTCGCACTGCACTTGTGGTTCCCATGTGGGCTGCGATTTCTAAAATGCTGCACGGACCTTTTCCCCGCTTTTCAGGAGGCACAACAGAATATTCAAATGAATGGGCTGTTGTGTCCGCACAAAACAAACGTGGCTCGTTGACAGAGTTAAATTTCTTTTTTTCTTTCGCTTTTAAATCTTTTTTTTCCTGTACTGACATTTAATTGGCCACTTACGACTTCATAATTGCCTGAATCCTGGTGGCCAATTGAATTTGTGGATGGTAGATTGCTTAGTCTCTGGCAAGGCCTTGCGTTCATATATAGCAGTGGTTCTCAACCTGTGGGTCGCGACCCCTTTGGGGGTCGAACGACCCTTTCACAGGGGTCCCCTAAGACCATCAGAAAACACATATTTCCGATGTGTAAAGAGCAGCTACTGTGTAGAAAGCAGCTGCTGTGTTGAAAGCAGCTACTCTGTTAAAAGCAGCTACTGTGTTGAAAGCAGCAGTATTGGAGGTAAAACGACACTCATGAATTATAATTACTGGGTAAATAATTTTATGGTTGGGGGTCACCACAACATGAGGAACTGTATTAAAGGGTCACGGCATTAGGAAGGTTGAGAACCACTGATATATAGGATTCCTGGTGGATGGAAAATTGGTTGAAATTGCTGAAAATAGCCTGGTGTCAACCAATTTATTAAATACAGTGCACCCCGTGTGTGGCTGATATTGTTGTGGAATTCAGTCAAGTCCACTTTCCTTACAGCGGAGTTAGGCTGTGTTCACACTGGTTTGCTTTAAAAATTCAGCATGTGTTTTAGCAAAATGCATATCACGTTTTTACATGGTTTAATGCATCTTTGGAGCACTTACCAGACTCCCAGCAGCATACACCTTATAAACATGGACATGTAACTAAAAAAAAAACACATCTGTGCTGCATTTTTGATGCGTTCCTACTTACTTACTATGGAAGGTACGTTTTTTTTTTTTTTTTTCTTGTTTTATTTTGTAATGCCACTGAAAAAGGGCACCAAAAATGCAGCACACCCAGTGCATAGTGATATGAAAAGGTATAGGATTTAAAAGGGACTATGTTTCATGTGCTTTTGTTGCACTGTAAAGGTGCCTTTTTAGTGGGTCAATCGCGCACCAGTGTGAACAGGGGCTAACAAAGAAGTTTGACACATGTGAGACACTCTTCTTTATTAAGAGAGTGCTAGCTGCATGTATTGGAACAGAGGAATTTTTACAGTAAAGCAAATACCTCATTGATCAACAATACTGCCTAAAATGGGATGTCACATTTATACGTAAACAACAAGCCAAGTACAGAATAATCTTTGGCTTATTCTACCGGCTGGTCATGGCCATAAAACATTCACACATTCCTATGTGGTTACCACAAGAGTTCTTGAAGTGTTCAATGTTCAGGAGTAAACCATTATTTGCTTAACAGTTGTCAGGCCTCTTAGGAATTTAAAGGCTAAGTTCACCTTTTTTAAAATAAATGTATAAATGCACATTTTTTTTTTGCAGGTGAAAAAATGTGCGTTTTTTTTATATTTTTTTTTTTTTTTTTTTTTCTAGTGAGTCTGAAGAGCATTTCACCCGTGATCAGCAGATCGTGGGTGCAATTTCAGGCTCGTGCAGACTCTCAGGATAGCTGTCTGCCCCTGACTCCAGTAAGGGCATTCAGTTACTTGAGAGCAGGATGATTAACGAACTACAAGAGCCTTCACCAGCTCCCTCATAGTTCACAGAGAACTGCAAGCCGTCAGCCACAATTGCTGATGGTACTTAGTCTTTTTATTCACAGGAAGATGTTAATAAATGATGCGGCAGTGTGGGCACAGGCTCGCTATTTTCAAATTTTAACAGTGGATGAGGGAGAGATGATCCCCTGCCTACTATCACAGGGAAGGGGGGATTGGGGTGAGAAGGTGCAAATGCTGGAACATGTTGCGTGTTTCACCTTAAATGTGTGGAACATTTTAACTTGTTCCAAAGGTGAACTTGTCCTTCAATTATGCATCTTTATTCAATATTCAGGTTTGCTTCTTCGTCACTATCCTATCTCAACAGTAGTTAATCAACTAGGCTAGCCATTGCAGTAACAATACCTACAATTCTCTACATCTAATACAATAAATACATGGAAGGGACTACATGTAAAATTGTGATGGCAACATCAAGCATTACTTAGGGTTAAAGGATAACTCCACTTTTATGGGGGGAAAAAAATCACAAAAACCCCACAAATGATTGCAACACAAGCCATATTGTAATATGATGATATAAAAAATTACCTTTCTTTTTCAATATGAGAGGTGGAAAGGCCCATAGAAGGTCCTTTAACCCATCAGCAGGGCCACTTTCTGTTCTTTTGTGTAAGGAGGAATAAGATGAGCACTGCCAGAGCCCTACAAAATGACCTCCAGCAGGCCACTGGTTTGAATGTCTCTGACCAAACAATCAGAAACAGACTTCATGAGGGTGGCCTGAGGGCCCAACAACCTCTGGGATTTCATGTTTCGGTCCATCCGATGCTGCCAGGTTTCACTTTAGACTGTACAAGAGCTCAGTGATGCCCTGGTCCAGAACTGGGAGGAAATACCCCAGGACACCATCCGTTGTCTCATTAGGAGCATGCCCCAACATTGTCAGGCATGCATACAAGCACATGGGGGCCATGCAAACTACTGAGTACCATTTTTGAGTTGCTGCAATGATTTTTCAGCAAAATAAACTAGCCTGCTGCATCATTTTTTCCATTTTGATTTTCGGGGTGTCTTTGAATTCAGTCCTTCTGTAGGTTGATCATTTCCATCAAACGATGGGGCATCCTTACGTTCCTAACACATTACCCAGTCCATATCAGTATAGATATCCAGCATGTTATTTTTCACTTTGAGATCTGATGTGTTTTCAAAGTGTTCCTTTCATTTTTTTAAGCAGTGTACATTGTTTTTTTTTTCTCGAGAAAACTGAAGTTACTCTTGCGCACACATATAGGTGTGATTGGATCTGTATAGTTTCCCTTTTTTCACACTAAACTTCAGTGCGTGACTTGGGCATAGTGTGACATAACACACTGCAGGGAAGAACATCCCGTCTGTGTACTGGATTCCAGAAGAGAGATCGTGCTTTCACAAGCAACACCTGGAACACAGCAGGGGGCTTAGCCACAAAACATACTATAGGCAGGAATACAGGTATACTGTTTTTAAGTACGGTGTTCTGTACGGTGTTAGAAGCAATTCCAGGGAGGCAAACTGACTACATCTGCATGAATTTGGTTCTGTGCCTCTCTTGGTCAGTTTTATATAGAGCCCTATGAAACTAGCAGGATCACCAAGTATTTAGCAAGAACAGATAGGATATAAACTGTTCAGGATACATTTCTACAAGACCGGACTTTATGAATAAGCTGAGCCACACAAAGCCAGCTTAAGAACTAACCTGCATAAGTGCCACCATAGCTAGCAGCTTGCTTTGGTGGGCACTCGACGGGGGAAGGAGACAGGAGCAACGGTGGGGGACCTGAAAAAAGTAGGCTCGGGGCTGCTCTGTGCAAAACCATTGCGCAGAGCAGGTAAGTATAACATGTTTGTTTAAATTTTAAAAAAGAGAACCTTTACAAACACTTTAACACTGAAGGCAGTCTGCCACCCCTGGTCATTTCCGCACTACATGATAACTCATGTGACCTTGGTTTTGACCAGTTATTGGATTGCTGCAACTAACTGCATTTGGTTACTGTGACTTCACCTGCATAAGTCCATTTACTGTTAAGTGACTGTTTGCTTTGTGTCAATAGATCTGGTGAGGCCAACTCGCTACTCCTGCCTAAACTGTCAAATACTCAGATCTCAGACCATTACTCCACCTGCATCAAGTTGTCGCAAGAGAATGTAAGTCATCTGCTGCACATGATTTGCTTGTTACATCCTTCACTAATGTATTTTGTTGCTGACAGGTTATTAACCACTTCTTTACTGCTCCTGTGGGCCGTTAATATACATGGGCCGGATGGGAGCAGTACAGGAGCAGGTGGCCATTTGAAAACGTTCTCCTGTTTCCCTGGGAGCGCGCGGCACCACAATCCGGTGCCCGCTGTGTCCGGACACAGCGGAACACTGATCGCTGTATGGGACCTCTGTATGAGTCCCGATCATGTGATCACTGATTGGCCAATCAGTGATCACATGAATAGTAGTAAGCAAGATGTCACTTCTGACATCATTGCTTACTACTAGTGAAATCTGTGAATGATCACAAAGGTCACATGGTACAAGGCTGCTCACAACAACCTTGTACCATGTGACAAGCTGTGACCAATCACAGCTCACACAGCATTTCTTCATGGCTGCAAGAATGCAGCCAAAGAGAAGGAGAAATGATTGCTTTACAGCCTTTATGGATGTAAAAGCAATCGGTGTAAGAGAAAAAAAAAAAAAATCTTCATCACCCCCCACAAGTAGTACAGTGTCACTACTGTACTGCTAGGGTGACAGTATGTTAAAAAAAACATAAATAATATAAAAAAAAGAAAAATGTTAGAAAAATTATTTTTGGTTATGAACTAATTTGGGTTATTTTCTATTTTTTTTTGCTAAAAAGATAGCTGAATACATTTTGGCCAATATTTATAAAGAAATATTTATTTGCAAAATTTTATAAGAAAAAAACACTTTTTTTTTTCAAAATGTTTGGACTTTTTCATTTATATAGCAAAAAAAAAACCCCAGTGGTGAATAAATACCACCAAAATAAAGTTTTAGCTGTCTCAAAAAAATGCTAAAAAATTAATATGGGTACAGTGTTACATGACCGCGCAATTGTCATTCTAAGTGTGATAGCACTGAAAGCTGAAAATTGGCCTGGACAGGAAGGGGGTGAAAGCGTCCGGACTTGAAGTGGTTAAATGTCAGTTTGTGTGTGTGTTTTTTGTTGTTTTATAACCTATATGACTTCATAATTATTTAATGCTACTTGCATCATTTACCATTATCTTGGATTAAATTCAGCACCATAGTATGCCACTTAAATCCCATCTCCACCTAAAACCTTTGTTTTGTTTTGAATTAAGTCGAGTGTTTAAACCTCTACGATGCCTGATTCCCATTGAGATTTCTGTTCACTGTTTGTATCTTGTGCACAATCTTGTGTGTGCACATCAGTCTCAGATTGTGAGCTACTTCTCGGGAAAGGGGTCGATTATGAAAGGTTTTATGTACTGTGCAAAGTACTTTAATAATATGGTGATGCCATTTTTTTTAATGTAAATTTCTTTTTTTTATTTCTAATTTTAGAGAATAACCACAAAAAATGCATTTGGACTACATCTGATTGACTACATGAGTGACATTCTGAAGGAGAAAGGAAGTGAACTTACAAACTTCAAGGTGTGTTTGTCACTTATTCCCATTATGTGTATCTGTTTTGGAAATTTTTATACTGATGATTTTTTTTTTCTACAGGTTGCTGCTGGGACACTGGATGCCAGTGCCAAGATCTATGCTGTGCGAGTAGATGCAGTGCATGCAGATGTGTACAAAGTATTAGGAGGTCTTGGAAAGGAATCCCAAGGACCAGAGCAAGCAGAGGTCCACGAAGCTGGTATGTAATCTCGATTTACACCCTCTGGCCACTTTATTAGGTACACCATTTCAATTGCTTGTTAACACAAATTGTTAATAAACCAATCGCATGGCAACAACTCAATGCATTTAGGCATGCAGACCTGGTGAAGATGACTTGCTGAAGTTCAAACTGAGCAATAAGAATGGGAAAGAAAGGGGGTAATTAAAAAAACAGAATTACACTGCATCTGAGCACCACAAGCCAGAAACACTATTTAGATTTCAATGTTAGTTTTTTAGAAATTTCAAAAACGAAGGTGAACATAAGAACTCCCAGCATAGGAAGGACCACATACAAAAGTCATCAAATGGTAGCGCAAGCAATTTCAGATAACATATCCATGTACTCACTGATTAGAAATATCATGTACCAATTCAGATAGTTGTTGACGAGAGAACCGCCATTTTACAGTTGAGGGGCCAAATGATGGGTGTAGTGTAGTGCTTGTCAAGAGGAAAAAACATAATATTTGTTTCTCAAGGTACATAGATTAGTGGTCAAAAACTTCACACAGTGGGACAATATAAAAATAATAAACCAGTGATTATTTAGCCCAAAAAACTGAACATATTGTAAGAGAGAAAAAGGCCATAAACACTATTTGACTGATTTTTAATAATCAAAGCAAACTCCCCATGCTTTATTTAGCTGAGAAATCACTTTGAAAACCACCTGGCATTTCTGGCCATGGCCATCTTGAGTAAGAGCAGATGATTCATGTAGCAGTTACTTCTTCGAATCTCTCCATCCTTAGCTCAGGCAGGCAGGAGTGTGTTTGGCTGAGAAAACCCCCATTTCCCTCCTCAAGTCTCCTGGGATGTTTGACATCATTTTGCCTAGGGCTAGAAACCAGGAAGTAACTGAAGAAATGTAAAACAAAAAATTTCAAACCACTAAACATGTTAAACTTATTTATTATTATATTTACTAATCCTAGCAGCCAGATAAAATATAGTCAATGTTGATTAAGAGAGAAGTTCAACTTAAAGCTGACCTATGTAACAGTGTTGCAAGCCATTACAATAAATCAACTCAAAGTCTAGTGTCCAAAAACGGTGTTTAAGATGCTCTGTGTAAAAGTGTGGGCCAGCTGTTTCAGTCAATAAAGAAAAGAGATCACCGCTGCATTGATAGATGATTCTCTCCCAATGCACACTCCCAAGAAATGGTTTATCTGGGATGATCAATAGTATTGCATTGTTCGTTCTTTATGTAAACTGGATAAATAATGCTAATTCTCTTTTCTGAAAGAAAATAATCCAGCAAGAAATATATGTCAAGGAAAATGCAATTCGTGCACATAATCATAATAAGGAGTCGATTTCATGGAACTTTCACAGCGTTTGATGCCCAATACTTAACTGTGCAGCAAGAAAATAATTAATGCTGCTCTGTTTGGAATAGCTTCTAATAGTGCAACGTCAGCTATACAGGCTGGCTGTCAAAAAAACAGCATAGATATGTCCTAATTATGATATGCAACAAGAAGCCATCTTCAGCCTACTTTAGGTAAAGAGAGTGATGAGACCAGTTATACAATATAATAATTTTGTGAATTCTGTTACTTTCCACAGAAGTCTTTAGGCAAAATACTGTAACTATCCATAGACATCTGAGGGCTGTTGGACAGCTCAACCACCAAAATTTTTTATTTGTGTTATTTTTTTATTTTATTTTCTTTCCTTTAAAGTGATATTGAAGGCAATTAAAAAACCAAACAAACATGTTATAGTTACCTGCACTGTGCAGTGGTTTTGTACAGAGCAGCTCGGCTTTCCTGGCCCCTCCCTCCTGCCAATTGCCCCCAGAACAAGCAGCTTGCTATGAGGCACCCAAGCAGGCTTGCTCCCGAGCTGCTGCTCTGTGTGTCCATTCACCCTGCCCCCCTCTTTCCTCCATTGGTTCACTTGATATGATTGACGGCAGCAGAAAGCCAGTGGCTCCCGCTTCTGTCTCAGCCAATAAGGAAGGAGAGTACTTGGAGAGCCAAGGCTCTTGTGCACATCACTAGATCACGATGGGGCTTGAGTAAATATTGAGGGTGGAGGCTGCTGCACACAGAAGGTTTTTTACCTTCATGCATATAATGCATGAAGGTAAATACCTTGAGCCTTTACAACCACTTTAATGTCTAAAAATTAATTAGATTGAAATGTCAAACTGGAAGATTTCGTTGGGTGGCCCATGTTCTTGATAAAGGTACAAATGCAAATAATTTTTTATAGATATGTTATAATTCACAGTGCCGGTTCACATACAGTTGATAGATCCATATGTATTGGACAAAGGCACAATTTTTTTCATACTTTTGGCTCTGTATGCCACCAGAATAAATTAAAACAAAACAATCAATGAATTTGAAGTGCAGACTTTCAGCTTTAATTCAAGGGGTTGAACATAAATATCAAGTACAAATTTTAGGAACTGCAACCATTTTTATACATAGTCCCTCCATTTTCAGTGGCTCAAATGTAATTGGACAAATGAATATAATCAAAAAACTGTTCATTTTTAATATTTTATTGATAATCCTTTACTGACAATGACTGCCTGAAGTCTGGAATCCATGGACATTACCAAAGACTGGGTTTCCTCCTTTCTGATGCTTTGCCAGGCTCTAATTGCATCTGTGTTCAGTTGTTTTTTTTTTTTCTGCCTTTAGTTTTGCCTTCAGCAAGTGAAATGCATGCTTAATTGGGTTGAGATCAGGTGATTGACTCAGCCATTGCAGAATATTCCACTTCTTTTCCTTCAAAAGCTCCTGGGTTGCTCTTGCAGTGTGTTTTGGATCATTGTCCATCTGTACTGTGAAGCGCCTTCCAATCAACTTTGCTGCATTAGGCTGAATCTGGGCTGACAGTATATCTCTAAACCCTGCAGAATTCATCCGGCTGCTTCTGTCACATCATCAATAAACACCAATGACCCAGTGCCACTGGAAGCCATGCATGCCCATGCCATCACACTGCCTCTACTATGTTTTACAGATGACATTGTGTACTTTGGATCATGAGCTGTTCCAAGCCTTCTCCACACTTCTTTTTTTTTTTTTTCCCATCAGATTAATCTTAGTTTATCCGTCCAAAGAATGCTTTTCCAGAACTGGTCTGGCTTTTTTAGATGTTTTTTGGCAAAGTCTAATCTGGCTTTTCTATTCTTCAGGCTTATGAATGGTTTGCACCTTGTGGTGAACCCTCTGAATTTGCTCTTGTGAAGTCTGCTCTTGATTGTAGACTTAGACAATGATACACCCACCTCCTGGAGAGTGTCCTTCACTTGTCTGGATGTTGTGAATGGGTTTTTTTCTTTACCATAGAGAGGATCCTGCAGTCATCCACCGCTGTTGTCTTCCGTAGATGTTCATACCTTCTGTATGTTGCTGAGCTCACCAGTGTGTTCTTCTTTCCTCAGAATGTACCAAACTTTTGATTTGGCCACTCCAGACCTTTTACCTGCTTAATTGATGAAGAAATAATGTAGTAGCCCACACCTGGCAATGAAACAGCTTTTGCTTCAATTGTCCAATTACTTTTGGTCCCTTGAAAAAAAAAAAAAGGGGGGGGGGCGGCTACTCTTCTGTAAGCTGTAATTCCTAAACCCTTCCTCCAATTTGGATGTACATACCCTCAAATTAAACCTGAGTGTGCACTTTCAGCCCATATCCATTATATAACTATAGCTTGAATATGTTTTGGTAAATACCTGAAAGAAAACTACAACTGTGCCTTTTATCCAAGTATATATGGACCTAACTATATATGCTGATTGGATACGGTTTGAACCACATCCAGTCCGCATGACACGTGAAATAAACTTGCTTCCTATGGTGCCTGTTCACATATGTCTGGTGCATTGTCGGTGGTGGTGCGGATTCATTGCGGTTTGAAAAAGAGTCCTGTACGATTCCTGAGTAGTGCCTTCAGGTTCAGGTGCGGAATTTAGGTTATTAACTTCTATGGAAACCGTTTCTAAACCCTGTATGTGTGAACTGACCTAACCCTGTCCTGAACCTGATGTAAACTGGACATTAACCACTGACTAACTACTGTGTCAGCTGTGAAACCTGAGCTTCAATCCGCACCGCACACATGTGTAAATCAGCTCTAAGAACTGTTAAGAAAATGCACCCCTGTTTATGGGCTTTGACACACCAGAGTGAGCAGAATGAGAGGTTGGAGTTCCTAGTTTCTCCATCTGCAACCGTTTTGTTTGTGATGCACAGATTTAATTGTAACTTGGTATCACATGACAATAAATATGCCACTGTGTGTATATGAGTTACAGAAAGCTTTTAGTTATATACATATAATGTGCAGATACTGATCTTGATATTTTTTAAAGGCGATTCTAGTGCAGAGCCTCAAAATACAAAACGTAAGAGGAGGCAACACTCTGTGAATACGATTGAACAGAATTTGAACAACATCACTCGCTCAGCAACAGACCGTGTTGATCAGGTGAAAATCTCCTTTTAAGAGCACTTTTGAAAAGGCACCCTGTAACGTGAAATGCAGAGAATGGAGTCTTAATGCATTGTTTAACCATGTATTACCTAGTAAATGCTTGCGCTGACCAGGAAGGTTCTCTAAAATGCCTAAACTGACTGTCCTTTTATCCCTTCACTGCCATCCTAAGTTATGTTAACTCAGCTTTTTAAATGTTAGAATTTGCATAAACGTTGGCAGCCTTCCTGGTCTCTTCCATACACCCACCTAATTCCTAGGCTCAGTCCCAAGGCTTTGTTTTGTGGGATATGAGCCTGTTTTTCTTTTCCACACCAACCAGCTTATGCTTTTGATTACTTGCTGGTAAAGCCAGCTAATACATTTTGGTAAACCAGCAGGTTTTATTTAACCTCTTCCTGCCTCCCATATGTATGCTGCGGGTGGACCTTAATAGCCAGCTGCCACACGTGTACATCTGAGCTAGCAGGGACAGGCTCAGTTATGTATCCATTGTGACAGCAATTCACCTGGTGCTAACACCCACTTAAAGAGTTGCTGGGAGGCAACAGGAAGAGGTTAAAGGGACAGAACAGTGGGTTTGTGTATTTTTCTTTGCCTATGATGAAGACTAATAAATTCGTTAAGACATATTTTATTTTTTTTATCTCCATATGAAATGTTTATTAAAGTGTTACTAAACCCAGGACCCTGCATTCACTATATCTGGTCTTCCACAGAACATGGAAATGCAATTATTTTAGTAAATATAAACTGCTAAATACCTTTTCTCAACAGCAGTATGGTTAAAGCTTGTAGGAGGAGTTTTCATTCTGTCTGGACAGCACTGTTTAGCCCTGTGCTGATCACCCCCCCCCCCCCCCAACCCCCCCCCCCCCCCCCCCCCCCCCCCCCCCCCCCCACCCCCCCCCCCCCCCCCCCCCCCCCCCGAAAAAAAAAACTGCACATGCTCAGTTTGGTGTGTATTGCTAGAGTGCCTCCTAGAGCTCTATACTATCAGCAGATGGATTGGTAACTGTGGAAGAAGGGGAAGATCAGAGAAGTCAGGATCAAACAGCCTTTTTACACAATGCAGAGGATTAACTCCTTAGGTTCCACCATGAGTATAAAAAACATGCTATACTGCATATACAGACTGATTTTACTGTTATGGGTTTAGTAACACTTTTTTTTTTTATCAAGTATGCCCATTTTCAGCCAGCAGATAGACCTTTAGGAGCCATTTTTCTTCTCCTGTTTACAGAGCCTCAAATGTAAAGGCTAAGTTTACCTTTTCCAGAAAATAGTCTATGCAGTCAATGGGCTCTAGTAGGTATTAAACTGTGCAGCTTTGTAAAATGTTAATTGATTTTGTCATATATGTAGGCCATTTGGACTTCCCTAGATGCCTGTTCGAAAAACTCCCAGTTAGCAATCCCCACATCTTGCCTTTTTTGCTATGATGTGAAAACCATTGGACGCCCACTCCCAGCTTTACATGAATGAAAAGCGAACATTTTTCACGCCCTAGCAATCACTACATTCTGCCTAGTTGCTAACTTTTTTGGCTAGGCTTCTGGAGATGCACAAATGGCCTACAGGTAAGACATTACAGTTAAGAGAGAAGTGTGAGCTTAAAAAAGCATTTATATTCACCTAGGTGGATGCAGCATCAATCCAATGCTACATCTGTCCCTGGCTGGCTCTGCACTGAGAACTGAGCAATCAAACACCACTGATCACTCAGCTCTGAGCAGAGAGCCGTGAGTGTCAGTTGCCAGTTGTCTGCTCTGCCCCTCCATCGCTCACTAGAGTGCTGGGCTGTGGAGGGGGTGGGAGTGGCTGGCTCAGACTCTCAGCAGATCACTGAGAGGCTGAGCCAGATGTCGGTTGACTGGGAGTTTTTCAGAGCCTGGACCAGCTCTTTGATGTCAGTCAACAGTGGGCTTTAGGCTGCTGTGCCGATTAAAAACAGGTCACAGGAGTGCAGAACGAACTGCACTCCTATGATTTATAGAAGTATAGCCAAAACAGCTTTGGCTATACTCCTTTAACCACTTGCCAACTGTGCTATAGCCAAATGACGGCTACAGCGTAGTTGTCCAGTTCTGGGAGGGCGTCATATGATGTCCTCCCAGAACACGCCCCCATTTTAGTCATGATTATATTCAATTATCCAATTACTTATGTTCCCTTGAAAAAGGGGGGTGGGGTGGCTACTCTTAAGAGCTATAACTCCTAAACCCTTCCTCCAATTTGGATGTACATACCCTCAAATTAAACCTGAGAGTATGCAATTTCATCCCAAATCCATAACTATAGCTTGAATATGTTTTGGTAAATACCTGATAAAATCTAAAATTGTGCCTGTGTAATTCAAATATAAATGGACCTAACTTTTGTAAGTGTTTATATCTGCAGGGATGTTGAGTTTGTATTGCCCAACTCCTGGGACCTGTAGTTGCGGGTGTCGGGCAGATAGCTTTTTTTCAACATTTAGCCCTGCTGCGGGCAAGCAGCAGGGCCCACCTGTCAGGTGAAAGCATTCTGACAGCAGCGCTTGCGCCTGATTGCTTTCACATAGTCCACCACAGTGCCAACCTCCGACCCCCCCCCCCCCCCCCCCCCCACGTGTGAGCCTCCCCCACTCACCAAGTCTCCCGGGTTCTGCGGACCCGGGATTGGCTCAATGTGCGCAGGCGGTTAGAGGGGATGGAGGAGAGTGAACACGTCCACTCCCCTCCCCTTCTTGTCCTGACCGGAAATTGAGGTTTGACATCACTTTCAGGCCCCCATTCACAGATTACTGGCCATGAAGGCCGGGAAAGTATGTAATGCAGTGTGATGTTCACTGCATTACATTCAGGGGAGACATGCAGGGTCTTTTAAACCCTGCATGTCTCATTTAAAGAGAACCTTTCACCAAAAAAAAATTTTGTGCAACATAAATTGTAACTACCACAATTTTATTCTCTACGGTCTTTGCCTTCAGAAAATATATAATGTTTGGGGGTTTTGTGTAATCTTCTTCAAGCCTAAAATGATTTTTTAAACGTGTGCAAAAAACCCACAAAAATGGCTTTGGTATCAAAAAGGATAAAGGATAAATCCGACACTCCCCTTCCTTGACGAGCACCCAATCAATGCTCATTACACTGCACAGTCTCTCCCCTCCCTGCTGGTTCCCAGGTGCGGTGCTGGAGACAGGGAGGGGAGGAGGAGAAATACAGCGCAATATTACAAAAAAATGAACCGTTTAAGTCACCATAGAGCCCCTTTTTGATTTTAAAAGTCCCACACATTCTTAATATCACTGGTTTAAATACGGTTTTGGTAAAATTTAATTTATTTTTTATCAGGACAAGTAGATTGTCATACGGGACAAATAGATTGGGACACCGATTTAAACATTTCCACACCCGTGTGTGTGTGTGATTTTTTTTTTTTTTTTTTTCTCTCTCTCTCTCTTACAAAGCTGTATATTTGGGGTCATTGTCCTGCTGCAGAATACATTTGGAGCCAATCACACACCTCCCTGATGGTATGGCATGATGGATAAATCTATGCCTGCATCTTTCAGCAGTGAGGACACCATTGATCCTAATCAAATCTCCAACTCCACTTGCAGAAATGTAGCCCCAGACTTGCAAGGAACCTTCACCGTGCTTCACTGTTTCCTGCAGACATTCTTTATTATACTGCTCTCCAGCCCTTTGTGAACAAACTTCCTTCTGCTACAGCCAAATATTTCATATTTGGACTCCTCAAACCAGGGCACCTGCTGCCATTTTTCTGCACCACAGTTCCTGTTTTCATGCATAATTGAGTTGCTTAGCATTGTTTCCATGTCCTATACACTTCTATTTCTGAAAGCATTTATCACAGTTGCCTAAAATGTTTGCACAGTACTATACTTTTAAATTCAGAAGTTTTAAAAGCTTTAAAAAAACCTGCATGACATTATATAAGTTATAGTTTCATAAAATAACATGGGTGAACTGCAGACTTAAATAAACATCCAAGCACACATTTACTGACAACCATATTTCTGTGTTTCTGCAGATTGACCCTCTCTTTCAGAAAGCAGCTGCCTCATTTGATGAATGCAGTACAGTAGGTGTTTTCCTAACTGCTCTGCGCTGTTCCAGTTATCACAGTGAGCTGCACTTTGATGATTATGTGATACCACTGTCCACCATCCAAGAGGAACAGGCTCCAACTTCAACATCTGTTGACACAACTGAGCTGAAAGGTAGGCTCTCAAAATCTGTTCTTCTAGTGTTCATATTCATTCTTTTGTTCCTAAAGAGAATGTTTTTTTGAGACATTAAATAAAATGCATTTGATTAAAAAAAATGAATACAAAATAAAATTGACTCAAAAGCATTATAGTTTTCCTTTAAGGAAATGTTTAAAGACTAACAAACCTAAGAACAAATGCGCACATCTAGTTTTGATAAACAGATCATACATAAAACATTCTTTTAAGTTAAGTGTTTTTTTCATGAATGTGTTCCTTGGACTAAAAATCGAGGTACGCGTTACTAATCAGGGCCCCTGCCTTCATACCAAGACACTGAGTGTTAAAGTTTAAAAAAAAAAAAAAAAATCCTGTGTCAAAAAAAAGTTACTAAATATAGTCACCCCGACCCTTCTCTAAAGACAGGTTGGCATTTGTATGGCCAGCCCCAGAGGGTTCCTAAACCTTGTTGCATTTGTGATTTGGCCTTCTGCTTACTTATGTCTATATCCTTTTACTATTGCTTTAGGCGGCGTTACTATCATTACAGTGTATCTGTACCCTGTCTGAGCATATCATATACTACTTGTATATTTTATTGTATCTGTTGCATACCATTACATAAAGGATTAACAAAGTGTGTGTGTGTGTTTTTTTTTTTTCACTCTAGCTTTTTCTCTTCAATGTGTGAAGTCTTACTTCTGATGTGATCCTGGCAACAATTTGGATTTCAACTTTCATGAGAAAACACTTGTCTCATGAGATTTGGGGTCCTCAACATTTTTAGAATCTCTACAGATAGTTGTATTCATAAATGTGTTTTATTTATTTACATTTTAATTTATTTATTTTTCCCTTTTTGGTGCACTTTTTGATGTGTGGATGAAGGTCCTGAATAAAAATGCAGACCTTTGTTTTTAATGTAAGTTCCACTTTAAAAGACAAGTTTATCTTTGGAACGTGTTACAATCGTGTAACATGTTCTGCTGCTGCCTCGCTCACCCTCCTCATTCCTTATCTTCTGACAGTGGGTGGGAGTTCTTCTCCCTTCCGCAGTCACTGTCCCATTTTAAAATCCGCACAGCGCTTTACCCCACAGCTGCGTCTTTCATTCACAGGAATCTGGTGAATAAAGAAACTGCAAATCCTATCTTCCACCATGGCAGACAGACTTGCACTTGTGAGTGTGCCAATGAGGGCAGTCAAAGTTCACTGACCCGTCCTCCAGCTTTCTAACAAAGAGCTTGTACAGTGGTATAGGTTGAAAGCCGGATGATATGTTTGCAGGAGCCTGACATTTTTGAACAGCTTTGCAGGCTCCAGTAAAAGGCTTCTCCTTTTTCAGGCTTTCTGCAATAAATATTTGCATTTATTGTTGTTTAAGTATATCTCCAGCAAAATTTTTCTTTTGCATAGAACAAGAATTTGTTGTATTTACTGCTATTCAGGCTGCCACTTTTTTCCTCGCTTTCTGTCTCGATAAGTTTTACTTGAATGATAAAGGAAAATCTTTGTCAGCTTTTTATTGCTGCCCGTGTCCCTATTGCTTTCTGTCCTTCACAGATTCTAATAAAATACTGCATTTTTATTTCTGTCTGAGTTAGAAAGTTAGTTTTCGAAAATTTACCTTGCTCCCTGTCTAGTGCCGTTGTCACCAGGACAGGAAGAGAGGGGAAATCTCTCTAACAGAACCTCAGATAACAGTAAAAATGCGACAAGTTTTAAACCTTTCCCACTTTATCAAAAATGGAAAGAAAATGTGTTGGCATTACATTCACTTTAAAGGAGCTAAAGCTATGAAATTTTAATGCATTTTGCTGTGTGACCTACTTTTCATCTCCTGGTGGAGTCTTATCTGGGAAAACATTCTTCTTTGCAGCTCTTCTGGATCAGTGTGTGGAAAAACGTTCCTTATGTCCTTCACTTGCAAAATTTCGCCTAATGCAGCTAGACAGCGATGTCAAGGAAGAGGTATATACCCACCATACATTTTTTGTGCTGTCCAGATATTTGATTTTTGAGCCTTTAGTCATTTATAACAGCCCCGTACATTTAAAGAAAAAAAAAAATGGCTAAGACAAAAGTTCCCATTTCCAACCCTGTGTTTACCATGCACTCTCAGCAAATAAGCATTGTCATAAGCATATTCCGATGCATACTTGGGATGCAACACTTCCAATCATGTGACCACTGGGACATCAATCGTAGGGGTCACAAGATTGGTAAGTCCACCTTTCAACATTTAGATCCTCTTAAAGGGCTGGGGGATGGCAGCAAGGGGTTAAACTTTCAGATTGTAGAAGTTATTTGAAAATTTGTACTGGAAAAATATATACCCTGCCATTGCTGAATTCTCTTTTCAAAAGTAAATTTCCTGGTTTATATGCCAGTCTAAAGGCTTCAGTATTTACGGAGGTACTCCTGTTCAATTGCTTGGTAACACAAATTGCTAATCAGCCAATCACATGGCAGCAACCCAATGCATTTAGGCATCTAGACATGGTGAAGGAAGGGGATTTAAGTGACTCTGAACATGGCATGGTTGTTGGTGCCAGACAGGCTGGTCTTAGTATTTCAAAAACTGCTGATCTACTGGGATTTTCACATACAACCATCTCTAGGGTTTACAGAGATTGGTCCAAAAAAGAGAAAATCTGCAGTGAGCAGCACTTCAGCGGAGGTCAGGGGAGAATGGGCTGACTCGTTTGAGATGATAGGCAACAGTAACGCAAATAGCCATTCGTTACAACCAAGGTATGCAGAATACCATCTCTGAACGTACAGCACGTCGAACCTTGAAATAGATGGTCTACAGCAGCAGAAAACCACGACGGGTGCTACTCCTGTCAGCTAAGAACAGGAAACCGAGTCGCATAGGCTTGCCAAAATTGGACAACAGAAGATTGGAAAAACATTGCCTGGTCTGATGAGTCTTGATTTCAGCTGCGACATTCATATGGTAGGCTCTGAGTTTGGCATAAACAACATAAAGCATGGATCCATCCTGCCTTGCATCAGTGGCTCATGGATGTGCAGCCAACAAATCTGCAGCAAGTGCTTGATGCTGTCATGTCAATGTGGACCAAAATCTCTGAGAAATGTTTCCAACACCTTGTTGAATCTATTCCACAAAAATGAAGGCTGTTCTGAAGAAAACAGGGGGTCCAACCTGATATTAGCAAAGTGTACCTAATAAAGTGCCCAGTGAGTGTACACAAATCAGGATTTCAGACCCCCTTTTTTTTTTTTTTTATACTTATAATTTTCAAGTTGGGTCCACTTTAATAAGAGATGCAGGCTGTGGGCAATACTATAAGGAGAAACTTGCTGTACCTGACAGCCCCTTAGATTGCAAACCAGAGCACCAAACTTGCAGCTGCAGTGCACTGAGAATCTGAGATCAGCAGGAACATCAGTCTAATTTACTGAATGCTTTGCTGATATTGATGTCTGCAATGCAGTTTTGTCACTAGACAGCACCTTTTATGGGTGGTATGAAACAGGGTTGTTAACTCCTATTACAACACCCCAGCTGCTTCATGTTTTACTTTTAGATACAAAAAAGTATAGGAAAACAAAACCATCCCAGTGCATTATGCCCAGTGTCCACAGTGACCATTTGAAAGTTTTAATGCTGTTGATGTCTATAGGCATTAGAAGGTTGCATTTCAGTACAGCTTGCAGGAGCAGAAAAGTTTAAAACGCTTCAAGCCCTACTGTATGGTAGAAGGCGAAGTGAATCGCTTAAAGTCTCAAAATAAACATGAAACCACATACTGGGAATTTACACCACTCCGTTGTAATAAATCTTTTAGGATTATGCATATTTATGCATTAGTGATTATTTTGTAAATAAAAGGTACACAATTCCTAAAGGTCTTATCCTTTACTTTGTCACCACACTCTTTCTGCAGAATGTGTTGTCATTAACGGATAAATACAAAGAGAGCGATCATGCCTTTGATATCAATGCAGAGATTGAGGATGATGGCCCTGAGCCTGCAGGTCCTGAGATGGATGATTTTGATGCAGATCTGTGTGATGGGAATGAAGCAGTCGATCTGGGAGAGTTTTCGGAGCAACGAGAAGCTTGCCGATCAGTGAGAAAAGGGTATGTTTTTACACATTATTAAAACCTGGAATGTGGTTTATTCGTTATTTTTTTTTTTTATGCTTTTTTTTTTTCAGGACTAGTAAAACTTTTGTAATGAACTATGTGAAGTATATATAATTATGTTAAGTAGAGTATTTCATTTAATACTTTTTGGTCACTCAAGATTCCCTCGTCCTGAGCTCCTAAAGTGATATTAACCACTAGCCTACAGGGCACTTATACCCCCTTCCTGCCCAGGCCAATTTCCAGCTTTCAGCGTTGTCGCACTTTGAATGACAATTACGAGGTCATACAACACTGTACCCAGATGAAATTTTTATCATTTTTTTGTGACAGAGCTTTATTTTGGTGGTATTTAATCACCTCTGGGTTTTTTATTTTTTCTTAAACCAAAAAACACTGAAAATTTTGAAAAAAAAATGTTTTTTTTTTTTAGTTTTTGTTATAAAATTTTGTAAAGTGATTTTTCTCCTTCCCTGATGGGCACTGATAGGCGGCCCTGATGGGCACTGATAGGCGGCCCTGATGGGCACTGATGAGGCGGCCCTGATGGGCACTGATAGGCGGCATTGACTGATGGGCACTGATGAGGAGGCACTGGTAGGTGGCACTAATAGGCATTGACAGGCATCACTGATGAGCACTGAAGGGCATTGACAGGCATCATTGATGAGCACTGAAAGACAGCACTGATATATGGCACTGTTAGGCGGCACAACGATTGGCACTGATGGGTGGCACCGATTGGCACTGATGGGTGACACTGAAAGGCAGCTCAGATGGGCACTGATATGTGGCATTGATGAGCACTGGCATAAGGCACTGATGGACACTGACAGGTGGCATTGCTGGGGCTACACTGATCATCAGTGTCCTGATGATCAGTGTACATGTCCCCTCTGCGGAAAGCCGATTACCGGCTCTCCTCTCGAGCTGTCAGCATGACAGCTGGAGAGGAGAGAAGTGCCGATAACCGGCATTTCCCTGTTTTACATGTGATCAGCTGTGATTGGACACAGCTGATCACATGACTGAGCCGACATCTTCGGCTCTTTCCATGATCGGTGATCCGCTGTGTCCAAGGGACACGGTGCACCCCCCGATCGCTGCGCTGCACTCCCTGAGCCGCACGCTCCCTGAGCCGCGCATGCACAGTGAGAATGGGAGGACGTCATATGACGTCCTCCCAGAACGAGAGAACCACCTTGCGCCCGTCATATTACTATATGGTGGGCGGGAGGTGGTTAAAGGGAATATTTCTTTTAAATAAAATAAAGATGTTATTCTTACCTGCTCTGTGTAACGGTATTGTACAGAGCACTCCTTTTTATCTCCTCCTTTGGTGGTCCCCGGCTGGCATTGTCCGCACTGCCTCCTTCCCAGTTCCCCCCCGTAGTAAACTGTGTGCCATGGAGCAGCCCGAGCCCAGCTGTGTGCCTCCATAGAACAATATGTCATCTGCATTGCACCAATGCTACAACAGATTTCTAGCATTCTTGCTGATCCAGCAGCAGGCTGAAAACTTAAGATTTCCACCTCGCTCCCTCCTCCTTATTAACAGAGGAGGAACTTGTGGAAGATGACACAGAAGCACACAACTTCCTACCTGCACTTTTCTCCTGAAGATCCTGTGCATGAAGATCCCTTGACTTGGATAAGTATAGCCTGAAGATTTTAGGTGGTAATAGCTCTCTTTTACCGTTTTTTTAGGAAGAAGGGCAAACTTCTGACTCAATGATCTGCTGTTGCTTCTACCTCTTCTTCCACAAGACACTCCTTTTTTGTCGCTTTCAGGCCTTGGCTTCTAAGTAGAGACCTCAGTTACAGTTCTTTTAGACGTCCCAGGCCTTCTCTTAAGACGTCAAGTCCTTCTAATGAACGGGAGCAGGCTTTCGCAGAGATTTGGCAGGAGGAGCTAGCGAATTAGTGGCTTCTCTGCATAGTGTCTGACAGCTGCAAGCTGGAATTTCAGAGCTTTGACCATCTATGCGTTATGGTTTAAAATGTTTCTTTAAATTTGCAAAAAAGATTGGCTCTTTTGCAAGCTCTAGATCCTCCTCTTTTTCAGGGAGTGATTGTTCAGGTTCCAGAAGATGGAAAGTTCCACAGATTAATTAAATCTTCTTTACGGTTCCAAAGCAAAACAGCGATGTTTGCCCTATACTTGACCTTAAAAACCCCAACAGGTTTCTCCAGGTGCTGAAGTTCCAGATGAAATCTGTGTTTGGTGGAGGCCTCTCTCCATAGAGGGGATTTCCTGGCATTGGTGGACATAAAGGATGCCTACCTATGTGTCCGACTTCCTCTCCCCCTCCTCACCATAGTATCTGGAGTTTCGGAGGACCCACATCTTCAATTTATGACCCTGCCTTTTGGCCTGTCCAGGGGGGACTGACCATTTGGAAACTCGGGCACTGCCCGAGGGCCCAGGGGCACTAGGGGGCCCCATGAGATGCCCCTGGTACCTTTTTCATAGGCTTTTTTGAGTTTGGGCAAGGACACAGGGGCCCCATGATCCCCTATTGCCCGGGGGCCCCATTAGTTGTCAGTCCACCCCTGGGCCTGCTTATGGTCCCCCAGTGGGAAGTGGGCTCTTCACCCAGAGGTGTTCAAGGAGATATGTCAAGCAATGGGACACACTGAATGTGGACCTTCTGGTGTCCAGGTCAGATTCTTCTTGAAGACCAGAAAATCTCAGGCATTTGCAGTGGATGCTTTTGGGGAACACAATAGGATCAGTTCTCTCTGGTTTATGCCTTTCCTTCACTACAGCTTCTTTGGCATCTCCTTTTCAAGATTCAGGTGGAAGGAATATTGATCATTCTAATTGCCCTGGCATGGCCCAGAGATATTGTGGACAGTCCTTAGAATCGTCCTGACCTGTAGCAAGGTCTGATTTTTCCATTCTTTACGACAGGGCTTGACAAATTTTCTTTGAATCTAGGAGCCAGCTAAAAAGAATTTGGGGACATGGTGGTAGCATGACACCAGTCCTCCCAGCTCCCACCTGTCCAGTAGTGGCTCCTCCAGATGGTGTCAGTGGAGAGGATCTGGTGCCAGGAGGGGTAGCTGAGCTTGTGTCCGCTTGGTTGTTGTAGTCAGGGAGGAAGTTGACGCTCTGCTGGAGGTGGGGCTATCCACTGTCACACAGGTGGCAAGACTTGGTAACTCTGGTCTGCACAGTACTCCTCCGGGGGGAGCTGCATGTATTGGTGGCTACCACCGCAACTTTGAATACGACATTCATGAACTCCAGCATACAGCGCTGAGGCCGGCTGCCGTCCGAACACTTGTCCATGGCCGTGGGGGAGTAGTATATACAAGGGCGATCAGTGCTGGAGGCCTCATCCTTCACTCCAAGGCTCTCTTGGGCTGTGCGGGGAGTTCGGGGCAGCTCTGTGCCTGAGAGAAGTGTGCACCAGAGGATTCTGCCTGAACTCTGTAAATGGGGAGGTATACAGGAGACTCTGGGGGGTCCTGAGACACTGGACTGAGTTCTGCACTACAGGGCAGAAGAGAGGGCTGGCTGAGGACACTGGCTAGGGAATGGGAGCACGCAAAACAGTGTGAGCTGCCGGGGGAAGGGGGGACCCAAACCCTGGGACACGGTTTCTGGTCGCCGTGGGGACCTGGTGCCTAGGATTTTTAAACCCTGCTTTACGTTGGCTGTATATACAAGTATGGCTATTGAAGTCTTTTGCGTTATGAGAGATGGGAGTTTCTGATTCTTTTATTCCTACTCTTTTAAAAGCCAGGAAGACTACTTTGAAAAGGATTTACTACCGTACCTGGAAATCTTCTATTTCTATGTGTAAGGTATAAAAATGTGATCCTTAGAAGTACATTGTGGAATGTATTTTTGCTTTTCTCCAAACCGGTTAATATACAGCCTAGAGTAAATCTAAGGGTCAGACTTTCTTTGGCCTTGGCTTTTTTTTTTCCCCCTTACCCCCCCCCCCCCCCCCCCCCCACAGGACGCTTACTTTCCATACCTTGGTGTATGCTTTTGTACAGGGTTTCATGTATATTGCTCCTCCGGTAAGACCACCTTGACCCCATGGGATCTCAGTTTGGAGCCTATTCCAGACTGTCCTTTGGTTCTTTTGACATGAATGGTTGTGTTTCTGTTTGCCATTACTTTGGCTCACAGGGTTTCGGAATTGGCGGCGCTATCCTGTAAGGAGCTATTTCTGTTACTGCATCATGACAAGGTGCTTCTTCAACCTCAGCCATCCTTCTTTCTTCTTTTTTTTTTTTTTTTTTTTGCCTAAAGTGGTTTCCGTTTTCCATTTCTACCAGGACATTGTCTTACCTTCTTTCCTAAGCCTCAGTTGCCAGGGGACAAGGCTCTCAATACTTTGAATGTGGTTTGTGTTCAAATTAAAAAATTACTAAAGGGACTAAACTGAAGTCCCAATCTACTTGTCCCTCATGACGATCTACTTGCCCTCATAAAACATAATTTTAACCAAAACTGTATTTAAATAAGGTCATTATTTAATAGCCCAAAGGGTTAATGCTTTTTTATTAGGCAGAGGTGCTTTTTGGAATGTCTGGGGCTCTAAAAACGAAAGGAGCTTTGTGGCAACTTAAACTTTTATTTTTTTTAACATTGTGCTGTTTATCTCCTCCTCACCTTGCTTCCTGTCTCCAGCACCACACCCAGGGTCTAGCAGGGAGGGCAGAGACCTTGCAGTGTGACAAGCACTGATTGGGTGCTCATAAGGAAAGGAGAGTGTCGAGCTAACTTAACACTCAGCAGAAGTACAGTTGAGAGCGTGAATGATGCGCCGGCCCTAGTGAGGGGAAAAAAAAACTTTATTCCTTCAGGTTACCCTCGCACACAGAAGCACTTGGATGCTCAGTACTAGCACATGCTGAGCAGCCAAATCAAGCTTCGTTAACCACTGGAAGATCAATCCTTTCAAGGAATCCTTACCTTGGGGCCCATGTGCCTTGCAGAATGGATGATACACCACTGAGTGTAATGTCCCATCAAAGCACCGTGCAGTACACCCGGCACTAAGCCTGCACAGTGCTAGGCAGAGAAAGATGGTTGGGCACTGAGCCTGCACAGTGCTAGACGGAGGAGTACGTCTGGGCACTGAGCCTGTACAGTGCTAGAGCCCGGAGGAGTGAACGTCTGGGCACTGAGGGCCTGGGCACAGTGCAGAGTGCTAGGCGGAGGAGAGGGCGTCTGGGCACTGAGCCCGCACAGTGCTAGGCGGAGGGGGGCGGCACTGGGCACTGAGGGCGGCCCGGGCACTGAGCCCGCACAGTGCTAGGCGGAGGAGGGCGGCTGGGCACTGAGCCCGCACAGTGCTAGGCGGAGGAGGGCGGCTGGGCACTGAGCCCGCACAGTGCTAGGCGGCGGCCGGGGAGGGCGGCTGGGCACTGAGCCCGCACAGTGCTAGGCGGAGGAGGGCGGCTGGGCACTGAGCCCGCACAGTGCTAGGCGGAGGAGGGCGGCTGGGCACTGAGCCCGCACAGTGCTAGGCGGGCACTGAGGAGGGCGGAGGAGGGCTGGGCACTGAGCCCGCACAGTGCTAGGCGGAGGAGGGGGCGGCACTGGGCACTGAGCCCGCACAGTGCTAGGCGGAGGAGGCGGAGGCGGAGGAGGGCGGCCGGGCACTGAGCCCGCACAGTGCTAGGCGGAGGAGGGCGGGCCTGGGCACTGAGCCCGCACAGTGCTAGGCGGAGGAGGGCGGCCGGGCACTGAGCCCGCACAGTGCTAGGCGGAGGAGGGCGGCCGGGCACTGAGCCCGCACAGTGTGCTAGGCGGCTGGGCAGGAGGGCGGCCGGGCACTGAGCCCGCACAGTGCTAGGCGGAGGAGGGCGGCCGGGCACTGAGCCCGCACAGTGCTAGGCACTGAGCCCGCACAGTGCTAGGGGAGGAGGGCGGCCGGGCACTGAGCCCGCACAGTGCTAGGCGGAGGAGGGCGGCCGGGCACTGAGCCCGCACAGTGCTAGGCGAAGGAGGGCGGCCGGGCACTGGGGACGGCTAGGCAGAGGAGGGGACGGCACAGGAGAGAAGGTGTGCGCTGTGCAGAGCATTCCTTGTAGCCACTCGGTACACACTTATCAAAAACACTGCTCAGTGAACTGTCTACATTTGCATACTACAGCTCAGCCTACCTCCATCCTTTGGCACGCTAAACAAGGTAGGCAAGACCCTCGCTGCGTGACGTCAAATTGTTGGAGCCGCTTTCCTCTGTTCTGCCACCAATCACAGCTGTCAGCTTCCGGTAGTGGTGTTTGGGGAGGTGGAGGATTGGCACAAGTGGATCCCAAATGGGCAGTCCACCCCTGTACAGCATGTTTAAAGCTGTGGAAGCTGTCCCCTCCTGCTTGTAAAAGCAATCCAGTGGCTAGTTAGTTACTCGGATTGCTTTTTCAAGGGAGACGACTGTCGGCTCTAAATCCTGCTACTTGCCCGCAGCAGGACAATGTGTTTAAAAAAAAAAACAAAAAACACTTTGCCTGGTGCTCAGAACTGCATGTCCCTGGCGTCGGACAATAGGGATTGAACATCCCTGACCTAAAGTAAACTGCTGTGATTCAACAATCCAGATTTTCTCTTTGTGCTTCTTGAGGGATCAGGCCGCTTCCATGTCTACTAATTCTCATTGGATGTGTCGGCTTATTTCTCAAGCTTACTATGGGCTATCTGTCATCAAGCTTCAGTAGTTTGACCAGGTAGATGTTAGAGGCGCTGAGGACACTAACTTTGATCGTAGTGTTTTGCAGGTTATGGCATGAGGTTCTTTCTGGTTAGTTTTTGGTGCCTGTTGGCTTGTTGCCCTGTTGTCCTTCCCTCATGTCCAATGATGTCCGATAGAGAACATAATTTTTTTTGCCAGTGTCAAGTCACTTGATTGTGGCAGCATAACCCGGTTTATAAAGAATACTAAAGCTGCTCTGTATGACCGTGACAGCGTTGGGTCTTAAGTTTGAAAGGAATCTTCTGTTTTTCTCAGTTTTGGCTGTAAATCATCTTTGTTTCCATTATTTTCTGCCCATCAGGTTACAGATTACTCAAATCGCAGATGCCGATATTGGTGCTATGTGCCTGCAGCTGTCATCTTGTCCCGGAGAGTATTCATACTTCAGTCCTCGCACTATGTCCATGTGGGCAGGCCCTGAACATTGGCGTTTCCGGCCTCGGCAAAAAAGTAATTGTTTTTCTTTTTCCAACAATTTACGTCTGTACGCACATACCAAAAGTCAGCCGAAAGACATCGGTAGCCAGCCTACTTGTAGCACAGTCTATAGAACAGAAGCCGGTCTAACTACTAACTTCAGCTTCTGACAGTCTTGTTGGAAAATGAGCCTTCCATCAGTGCTTGAAGCCAAAGCCTGGAAGTGCTGATCAATGTTTTCTGATGGAGGCGGGAGTCCCCCTGTTAGAATGCAATAACTCAGAGTGTGAGATCCCTGCATTAAACACCATTGTGTTGATGCAGAGATCTGGCAGTTTTTTTTTTTTTTTTGTGGTGTTTTTTTTTTTTTTTTTTTTTTTTTTCGTTCAACCCGCTGGTTGAATGAAAAAAAAAATTGAATGTGTATACCCAGCTTTATTCATCAGGGGACCTATAGCATTGTCGTTAATCTAAATCTATTGAACTTTCAGTTGAGAATATTGGTGACAAACCGAAGATCAAGAAGGCAAAGAAAGTGTTTGAACTGAACTTTGAAGATGACATTAATTTTGAATCTCACTTCTGTAAAACTAGGGTAAGTTGCCTAATTAAAGAATCTACCGTGTGTTTCCAATACAACATCAAGAGTGATATGTGATTAGCACTGTGTGACTTTGACTGGGAATACAATATAAATGTAATTGCATCGCCAGTTTTACTTTACTGCACACTGTGCCCTATGGTGGAGATTAACCCATCTCTGCCTGTGTCAGTGACCAGGACAGGACATGAGAGGAAATCTCCTACGGAGATGGAAAGGTGGGTTCTATCAGCTTTTTTTTTTTTTTTCTGTTATGTCTGTGCTCCAGTAGACATTTCCTGCACTTTTTTTGGCCTGATAGCATTGTAACTGGGACAAGATGTTAGGAAAACCTTCTTGGCAAAACCTGAGGTTCCATAGCCTTTCCCCACTATGTCCAAAACTACAACCAGCAAATGTACTATTGCCTATTATAAGAGAAAATGTGACATAACCATAAATATATTAATGCAGTTTATGAGCTTTGGCACAGTGACCCAAGTGCACAATTGCTGCCCCATGGTTGGGATGAGTCGGGGGATGGCTAATCCATCAGGATCTAACCACGCCACTTGACCAGAGTAGGTTTCATTAAGGGCTCGTTCACAATAAATGTGTTCCAGTGCATATTTTTTCAGGTTACATGGCTGTCAATGGCATGGTTTCACACCAGTGCTTGCAGTTTTGGTTTGTTTCGGTTCCAGAAAAAAAAATGAGAACATGCTGGATTTTTCCTGCACAGAACTGTGCTGGAACACCGTAAAATGCACCGGAACGCATCAAAAACGCACTGGACCCCAAATGAACCAAAAAAAGAGGAAAAAAAAGCATCTGGAATGCATAAAAAAACACATTGGACTCTGTTAGAAAAGCACATGCAGACACCGGACTGAGTTTCTATGCTGTGAAGTGGCCCTAAATGTTTTTTCGTTTTTTTTTTTTTTTTTCCACAGAGGTGTTTATATTGGAGGTAAAAATGAGCCACAGCTGTGCAGAGGAGTTCTGAAGGTTGTAAGCTCTAGTGGGGGCTAATTTATGGTAACTGGAGAGGATATGTACCACCTACCAATGGCAACCAGTTTTAATTATTATTTTTAGGTGAAGCTTGAATGGCTTCTATGAGCAATGTTCTGCTTACGACTAAGTATGTGGCTTGCCCATAATTCTTTTATGTAGATGTCTTCTAGATATGCAGAATGATGTGTGGCTATTCACCAGTAAGACAATTTTATAGCTGAAAACACCATTCTCAGTCACATTTACTGCAAGATGCTGTATATGGTTTTATTGGTTTCTGTGCTTTGCTGTACTCTACACATCATCAATGTGACTGTAATGAGGTCTGTACAACCCAAAACTGGGTCATTAACACCGTGGCACCTTATCCTGTTAAGTTGCCAGTCTTGACATAAGTTAGTGTGTAGTCTTTTAAAGTTGGCATTCAAGTACAACCCCCCCATGCATTCTGTTAACATTTTCTGGAAGTATCATAAATTACAGCAAACAGGGAAGCAGGACAATTATATGTTACCCAGCAGAACCAGAGATGATTCACACATGTGCGGTGCGGATTAGAAGGTCCGGTTTCAGTGTGGCTTGAAATCAACTTGTTCAGCAGCTCAGGGCCAGTTCAGGATAGGTTTTTGTGACACAGCTGCGGATTGTACTGTTCACAGGTTTATGTCAGGTTTGGATGTGGCTTTGCCAGGCTCAGGACAGGATTCTGTGCAAGGAGGGGAGGTGCTGCGCTGGAGAGGAGGGAGGGAAGGGGTTGGGGTGGAGAGAGCGACCTACTGAAGCACGATCCTGAACTGAAATTCTGTTAACAACTCATGACATATGCAGTTTAGGAACAGTTTCCATAGAAGTCAATGGCCTGTTAATATGCACCTGCACTGAACCGCACTGCTCAGAAATTGTACATGACTCTTTCAAACCACACTCAGTCCGTACTGAATCTGTATCGCTCCTGCACTGGACATATGTGAACAGGCACCATAAGAAGCAATGTTATTTCACATGTCACGTGAATTGGATGCGGTTCAAACCGCATCCAAACTGCATATATGTGAACCAGCCCTTACAGTTGTCAATAACTAATTGGATGTCTTAACAGAATATCTGCAACAGAACACTGCAGTCTTTTAGTAGTTGAATATTATTGTAAAGTCATATCTAAATGCAGCAAAAGCTACAAAATGCTATCAGCACATAGATAATCACTCTGAAACCCAGAGATCTGGGTTTCAGCCTATTATAAATGTGTTAGGGACATATAGTGTAGTTGGGTATAGTCAAAAGTGTACTTCAATTCTGAAATACCGTACTGAAATATTAACCCTCTTTAATTTGATCTCCTATATTTAAATAGGCAGCTACAACACTTGCAAAAAGCACACTTGAGACACAAAAGAAAAAAGCCACAACACTGCCTGCTGATTTCCATTATGATCCAGACAACATTGCAAGGATGAGCTTAAGACCAGTGGACAGGGTAAGGTTTCAACTATTCCTTCACTTTTACACTTGAGTCTAATCTATGCAGGTTAATGTATTTTTTTTTCCCCTTTAGATCAATAGGATAGTTCCTGGAAATTCTGTTTCTGAACAGGAAGATGAGATTGGAGAATATGACTACAACAATCCCAATGACACTTCAAACTTCTGCCCAGCTTTGCAGGTGGGGACTGTTGTTTGTCATAAGCAGAATTAATTTGTCAGCAGTTTTTTTTTCCTTCAACATTAAAATTTTTTTTTAACCTCATTGTTTTAGCTTGCAGACAGCGATGATGATGATGGTCCTTTTGTGGGAGCCACAGATGAATGTGCAGAATTTCCCATACAGAATGGAATAGATGAGAAGAGGGTAGGCTTTGATGGGGAACACACTTTAATTGCAGAACCACAGAAGGTAAGCAGTGCACATTAATAAGGTTAATGTTTCCTTTTTTTTTTTTTTTTTTTTTTTTTTTTTGTAAAAGTAAAACCAGTGAACACCTGGGAGGTTAAACATGTGTGCCCTGCACATATTGAGTGGTTATGTCAAGTTGAGATTCACAACCATAAGTGTATATTGTGGTGGTGAAGGCTATGCTGTTGAGTACGATTCAGCTCAACTATTCAAGAACCCTTGATGTGTAAGGAAAATAAATTATAGCAACCACAGCCTGGCCAAAAGTACCTCCGGCACCTACAGTCATTCCTTTACTAAAAGTGCCTTTTACGTTTGTTACTCAGCTCATCATCATGACTTCTGTTCTTTGTAGCTGTCAATCACTATCTATCACACAAGGCTTGGAAGACATAGTTTGTTAGCATCTTAGTGTTACTATGTAGAAGTCTGAAGCAGAGCACAACTTGTTTTCCTTTTACATGCAGGTGAACAAAATAGAGATAAACTATGCCAAAACAGCCAAAAAGATGGACATGAAGCATCTCAAAATGAGCATGTGGGGGCTGCTGGCGAATACCCCAGAAAAAGCAGAGGAGGTAAGTTGAGATGTCATAGAGAAGATTGAACTTTGAGCAGGCAAGATAAAAACGGGAGCATGTTTATTGATTTACATTTAATTAGATTATGGTCGTTTTTTATTATTACAAACAATTTTGACTTATGCTTTAATCTCCGAAATAGACAGTAACTTAACATGCAGTTTAATTCATTGATGATGAAGCTACACATTTACATTGTAGTTTCCCTTATTTATCTCTTTATATATATATATATATATATATATATATATACACACACACACACAGGTGAAACTCAAAAAATTAGACTATTGTGCAAAAGTTCATTTATTTCAGTAATGCAACTTAAAAGGTGAAACTAATATATGAGATAGACTCATTACATGCAAAGCAAGATAGTTCAAGCCGTGATTTGTCATAATTGTGATGATTATGGCTTACAGCTCATGAAAACCCCAAATCCACAATCTCAGAAAATGAGAATATTGTGAAAAGGTGCAATATTCTAGGCTCAAAGTGTCCCACTCTAATCCGCTGATTAAGCCATAACACCTGCAAAGGGTTCCTGAGCCTTTAAATGGTCTCTCAGTCTGGTTCAGTAGGAATCACAATCATGGGAAAGACTGCTGACCTGACAGTTGTGCAGAAAACCATCATTGACACCCTCCATAAGGAGGGAAAGCCTCAAAAGGTAATTGCAAAAGAAGTTGGATGTTCCCAAAGTGCTGTATCAAAGCACATTAATAGAAAGTTATGTGGAAGGGAAAAGTGTGGAAGAAAATGGTGCACAAGCAGCAGGGATGACTGCAACCTGGAGAGGATTGTCAGGAAAAGGCCATTCAAAAGTGTTCGTGACTTTCACAAGGAGTGGATGAGGCTGCAGTCAGTGCATCAAGAGCCACCACACACAGACGGATCCTGGACATGGGCTTCAAATGTCGTATTCCTCTTGTCAAGCCGCTCCTGAACAACAAACAACGTCAGAAGCGTCTTACCTGGGCTAAAGAAACACAGACCTGGTCTGTTGCTCAGTGGTCCAAAGTCCTCTTTTCTGATGAGAGCAACTTTTGCATCTCATTTGGAAACCAAGGACCCAGAGTATGGAGGAAGAATGGAGAGGCACACACTACAAGATGCTTGAAGTCTAGTGTGAAGTTTCCACAGTCTGTGTTGATTTGGGGAGCCATGTCATCTGCTGGTGTTGGTCCACTGTGCTTCATTAAGTCCAGGTTCAACGCAGCCGTCTACCAGGAGATTTTGGAGCACTTCATGCTTCCTTCCGCAGACAAGCTTTATGGGGATGCTGACTTCATTTTCCAGCAGGACTTGGCACCTGCCCACACTGCCAAAAGCACCAAAACCTGGTTCAATGACCGTGGGATTACTGTGCTTGATTTGGCCAGCAAACTCGCCTGACCTGAACCCCATAGAGAATCTATGGGGCATTGCCAAGAGAAAGAGGAGACGTGAGACCGATCAATGCAGAAGAGCTGAAGGCCGCTATTGAAGCATCCTGGTCTTCCATAACACCTCAGCAGTTGCCACAGGCTGATAGCTTCCATGCCACGCCGCATTGAGGCAGTAATTGCTGCAAAAGAGGTCCAAACCAAGTACTGGGTACATATGCATGCTTATACTTTTCAGTGGTCCGATATTGTTCTATGTGCAATCCTTGTTTTATTGAGTGCATGTAATATTCTAATTTTCTGAGATTGTGGATTTGGGGTCTTCATGAGCTGTAAGCCATAATCATCACAATTATGACAAATTACGGCTTGAACTATCTTGCTTTGCATGTAATGAGTCTATCTCCTATATTAGTTTCACCTTTTAAGTTGCATTACTGAAATAAATGAACTTTTGCACAATATTCTAATTTTTTGAGTTTCACCTGTGTGTGTATGTGTATATGTATGTGTATGTATGTAATGTGTGTATATATATATATGTAATATATATGTGTGTGTGTATATGTAGGTATATGTATATATATGTTTGTATGTATATGTGTGTATATATATGTATATGTGTATATATATATATATATATATATGAGAGAGCATTTATTTTTCTTTTCTCTCACACACAATACAGGGCGGCAACTCACTGAACATTAGGTTAGTGAAGGATTGAACAGCAGTATGCCAATCGTTTTATATATCACTTTTATGTAAATGCAAGCTGGTGCTAAACTCTGGTGGGCAGAATTTGTAAACGGTAAAGTTTAAATGATTTCAAATGAGGAAATATGAGATGTAAGAAGCCTTATTTTTATCTACAGCTCCACAGCAAAGTTTCACTTCTATAGTGCAGCCCCAGTAGTGCCTCCATCCTGATTTATTTATCTTAGTTTGGGCCACGATATTTCTCTTGCATGAGTCTCAGACCCACCATTGACACAAATGCCACTGTCACGTGGTTGTGCAAGAGATTTGTTGCTCACTTTCTGTCGGTAATGTTGCTTATACTGTTTTGCAATACTTACAGTAATATTAAAGGCTTTATTTTTTTTAAAATAACAAACATGTCATGCTTGCCTGCTCTCTGCCGTGTTTTTTTTTTTCATGGAGTGGCCCTGATCCTCCTTTTCTTGGCTCCTCGACCCAACCCCCCAAACCGGCATGTGCCCCTAAAGCAAGCAGCTTGCTATGGTGGTACCCAAACAGGTTCACTTCTGAGCCACTGCTCTGAATATCTATTCACACAGAACCACGGCTGGCGCCACCCTCTCTCTCCTCATTGGCTCTCTGGGGGAGAGTCCCTGGAGAGCTGAGGCTCTCGTGCACATCGCTGGATTGTGATGGGGCTCAGCTAAGTGTTTGGGGGGCTGCTGCACACAATGCATGAAGGTAAAAAAAACCATCAGCCTTTACAACCACTTTAACATTTTTTTTGTGGTTGTGGTGTACATCATGAATTTTTTTTTTTTTTAAATCAGATTTTATTTTTGTGTGTCTCTGATTTAATGGTTGATCCCCTTATGAGAAATGTCACCTTATTAATTACTGACGCCTGTCATATCCTGATACTTTTTACTCCTTACAAAGTTAACTTGTATAATGAATAAACTTTGATCAGGACCAAAAGTTATTTAGGACAGGATTAATCTTTCCTTAGATGTTAAATGGTTTGTCTGTTTATTTCATTTAAGCCAAATCATACGCCTGAGGATGCAGCTATTAAGGAAGAGAGAATTTTCAGCAGTATCACAAATGATTTGCAGAAAAGGTATAAGACCATCCGTTCTTATGTGCTTTCCAATGTTTGCTTTATCCTTTATACTGATGTACTTCGCTTGATCAACAGGTTGCCCACTTTAATGGCGCAGAATCTATCAGTACCACTGGCTTTTGCTTGCCTCTTGCATCTAGCTAATGAGAAGGTTAGTAAACATAGCCAGCCTTGCTTAAGTAGGAAACTATTAACACTGTTGAAGTCATTGTAAGTTTTCATTTTGTTTCTGAAATTTTTTTTATATGTTTTGGAAAAACAGATCTTCAGGAGGTGTATCCTCTATTTTATCCAGTTTATGGTTGCATTTCAGTGAATTAATAGAGATATGCGTTGTAATGGTCAAACTATCTTCCTTTCACCTCTAAATCTCTCCGCACAGTTATCTGTTCAACTTCAAAATGTACAGGTTATCATATGCCTTGTGATAACTCAACAACTGTCACCAATGGTGTTTGAAAACACAGGGTAGGAAAAAGCATTGATTTAGTGACTCGACACCAGACAGACTTAATATGGCAAGAAATCCAAAAAGAAATAGGGTCACCTCTGAGAGTACCAGTAATTCTACAGGTATAAAGGGGTTAGACAAAAAAATGGAAACGCTGCATGATTTGCAGGTGTGAAAGTGGCGACATGTTTCTCATTGAAAGCACAAGTGATGTAAACTCCTTTTACTTCCACTGTGTGATGAGACACCTAACTAACAGGTGGGAAGCCTCACTTTCGTTCACTGCGTGCCCTGCTAGTTATACGGAGTCATGTTAGAGCTTACTGAGCTTCAAAGAGGTCAAGTTGTTGGTGCCCATTTAGCTGGTGCCTCTGTGACTAAAGTTGCCAATGTATTTGCTGTTTCGCAAAGTACAGTATCAAGGGTTATGACGGCATATATAGTTTCTAGGAAAACGTAATCTCATGAATATAAGCGTGGTCGACATGGTAAACTGACCAAAAGATACAAAAGGACAATTGCATAGGATTGTGACTCGGAATAAGAAAACGACTGCTGAAAAAGTGACTGCAGAGTTTAACCACTTAATGTCCAGACACTTTTACCCCTTTCCTGTCCAGGCCAATTTTCAGCTTTCAGTGCTGTCACACTTTGACAATTGTAGAGGATGAAAGAAAGAGTGCACAAACCTTGCGCATTACCTCAATAAATAGTGACTAATTTTATTAATAAGGAAATATACTCACAAAGTGATGGTATAACAGGCATAAGTAACCATAATCCAAACAGGGTTACAGGTAAATCGAAAAGGGGGGGGGGGGGGGAGGGATGAAGGCTAACGCGTTTCGAAGGGTGCTCCCTTCTTCATCAGAGCTGGGTTGAGCAGATAGAGACTTCAGTATGGCAGAGTTCCCATGGCAAGGAGATATTCAGCCACTGAGTGTCAGTATTACAGCAGTTCAGCCTGTTTGACTAAACAGGCTGAACTGCTGTAATACTGACACTCAGTGGCTGAATATCTCCTTGCCATGGGAACTCTGCCATACTGAAGTCTCTATCTGCTCAACCCAGCTCTGATGAAGAAGGGAGCACCCTTCGAAACATGTTAGCCTTTATCCCCCCCCCCCCTTTTCGATTTACCTGTAACCCTGTTTGGATTATGGTTACTTATGCCTGATATACCATCACTTTGTGAGTATATTTCCTTATTAATAAAATTAGTCACTATTTATTGAGGTAATGCGCAAGGTTTGTGCGCTCTTTCTTTCATCTTCCTCTACAGTTTTATTAAGCTTCCCCAGCTTCATGATAGAGCTGCACAACCTCTGATCACCAGCGGATGAACACACAACACGCTGCTTGTCACTAACGCCTGTTTGATCTGAGTCTTTGAGCGCAGGAGATAATGGATCTTTGGTGACACTTTGACAATTGCACAGTCATGCAACACTGTACCCATATGAATTTTTTAGCATTTTTTTGAGACAGATAAAACTTTATTTTGGTGGTATTTTTTCACCACTGGGATTTTTATTTTTTGTGCAATTTAAATGAAAAAGTCCAAACATTTTGAAAAGTGTTTTTCTTATAAAATTTGGCAAATTAAATAATCTTTCCTCATACATCTTGGCCAAAATTTATTCAGTTATATTTTTAGTAAAAAAAATAACCCAAATTAGTTTATAACTAAAAATTATAATTTTTAAAAAAAAAAAATTAAATTTTTATTTTATTTTTTTATAATCTTTTTTTTTTTTTTTTTTTCAACATCTGTCACCCTAGCAGTACTGTCACCATAGTGACACTGTACTACTTGTGGGGGGTGATGATTTTTTTTTTTTACACTGATTGTTTTTACAGCCTTTATGGGTGTAAAAGCAATCATTTCTCCTTCTCTCTGGCTGCATTCTTGCAGCCATTGAGAAATACTGTGTGAGCTGTGATTGGTCACAGCTTGTCACATGGTACAATGCTGTTGTGAATAGCCTTGTACCATGTGATCTCTGTGATCATTCAAAGATTTCACACGTAGTAAGCAATGATGTCAGAAGTGGCATCTTGCTTACACCTATTCATGTGATCACTGATTGGCCAATCAGTGATCACATGATTGCGACCTCACACAGAGGTCCTGTACAGTGATCTTGGTGCCACGTGCTCCCATGGAGCATGCACAATTCATAATGGCGGGCGCCGTTTATGAGTGGCAACCCGCCCCTGCACTGCCACCGTCCTGCCGTTTATATACAGCGGCTGGACAGGAAGTGGTTAATCTCAGCCTTCATGGGACTGAGATTGAGCTCTGCAGTCACTTCTCGACCTTGCTAAGTGGTAGTAAAAAAAAAAAAAAAAGGAAAAAATTTCCCCCTGCCAATTAAGAGCACAATGTTATAGTATGCATTGCATACTAGCACATTATGAACGGCTTACCTTAAAACGAAGCCCTCCAGCGGCACCATGTCACCGCTGATAGGGCTTCCATCTTCACACAGTTTTTCTTCTGGCTCCAGTTGGTTGAATGGCCAAGCCGTGATGACATTGCTCCCGCGCATGCACCGGTGACTGGGAGTGCGCGGCGATCGGTGGTGCGCTGTGTCCCTCGGACACAGCGATCACCAATCGACGGAAAAAAGCCGAAGATGTCGGCTTGGTCATGTGATCAGCTGTGTCCAATCACAGCTGATCGCATGTAAATAGGGAAATGCCGGTTATCGGAATTCCTCTCCTCACCAGCTGTCACACTGACAGCTCGAGAGGAGAGCGTAATTGGCATTCCTTGGAGGGAACATGTGCCCTGATGATCTGTGTAGCCCCAGCAGTGCCACCTGTCAGTGTCCATCAGTGCTCATCCATGCCACCTGCCAGTGCCCATCAGTGCCACATATCAGTGCCTACCAGTGCACATCAATGCCACATAGTGCCCATCTGAGCTGCCTATCAGTGCCGCCCAACAGTGCCAGTCAGTGCCGCCTATCAGTGCCATATGAATGCTGCCTTTCAGTGCTTATCAGTGATGCCTGTCAATGTCCATCAGTGCCACCTACCAGTGCCTCCTCATCCGTGCCACCTATCAGTGTCCATCTGTGCAGCCTATCAGTGCCCATCACTGCAGCCTCATTAGCGCACATCAGTGAAGGAGAAAAATCACTTATTTACAAAATTTTATAACAAAAACTAAGAAAAAAACGTTTTTGTTTTTCAAAATTTTCAGTGGTTTTTGGTTTAAGAAAAAATAAAAGAGGTGATTAAATACCACCAAAAGAAAGCTCTGTCACAAAAAAATGATACAAATTTCATATGGATACAGTGTTGCATGACCGCGCAATTGTCATTCAAAGTGTGACAGCGCTGAAAGCTGGAAATTGGCCTGGGCAGGAAGGGGGTATAAGTGCCCTGTAGGCTAGTGGTTAAAGAAATAAAATGGCAAACACCTCATCAGTTTATAACTGGCAAAAATGCTTTGCATGGAAATAGGGATCTAATTCATTAACCAGGTAACTGACTAATTGTGTGAGGTAGCAAAACCATCATCTCATGAGTTGATCTCACTGACAGCAGCATCACAGCACAGCACCGTCATACAGTGTCGCGGTTACTGATCATACTGTCTTGACTAACTGACCACCTAAATATTGGGCCTAGTGGATAGGACTTGCTTTGACAAAATGCTGGGCAACAGATAACATTGCAATAGCAGCCTTAAGATGGATTTAGGTTACCCAGAGCTGCCTTTCCACATTTTTTATAGTAGCGAATTGTGGGTTGCTTTAATTTTTAATGTATTTGTAGTGTTTTGGTATAGCTTTTCAGTTGCCCTTAGCAAATTTGATCCTCTCATGCCACTGTATGTAGAAGTAGAGCTAATCTAACATTCGGGTAAGGTACTCTGTCTGGTGGTGTGCATACACTGATACCACTCCGTGTTGCACCTAAATGCAAAGTGAAAATGGGGAAAAAACAAGGGGGGGGGTTCCATGTACAGCAAAGTTCATTCATCCAGTGTTTTATAAATGATCTTCATTGTTTCTTGTTTGTCTTTTGTTTTTTTAGAATTTAAAACTGCAGGAAGTTGAAGATCTCTCTGATGTGATGATAATGCAAGGAGACTGATCAGAATACAAGAATGTGCAATCTTAAGGAATGATAACACAAACAATGTGATGAAATTTTTTATTCTTCTGTCAGTATCTGCACTATAGCAGAATGTCTGTAAATAATGTATATGTTACATTTTTATTGTCCCCACTTATTAATGTACGTAATAGAAAAAAAAGGAAAAATAAAAAGATTCAGTCAAAATCCAGTGTTTGCAATTTATGATGGCCACACAGGCATTTGCCTTGCAGGGAATGTGTGAGTGTTTTTATGATGTCCCTCTTCAACCATGGCTGTCAAGAAGGTGAAAACCAGGAAAAAGCGTTTGTCATGATCCTTGTGCAGCTGCTTTCCAGTGTCTGAAATCTGATGCTGTCTGAAGGCTAACTCGCCATCCAGCTTCTAAAAAGATGACATACATAAAGTCAAAAAAGCATGGACTTAGGGTTATAGCATCTCCTAAAACTCCAAGGTTTGCCTCACATAAAGATTGTAATAATAGGGAAAAACATACACCTGGTTCTTTCAAAGTCAGAAAAAATACTTTTCATGGTGGTTGTGTACATTTTATCCTTAATATTATTATAACATAATAGATCTGAAACTGGATGGAGAGTCCTTACCTCAACCCTACTGAACATCTTTTTGTTGAATTTGTGCACAAACTTGAATAACAGTACTTGACCTAAGAATTGCTCTTCTTAGCTACATGGACACAAGTTCCCTTACACACTTCAAAATATTCTGGAAAGTCCATGTGGTGGCTGCTTTAACTACCAAGGGGGGGGGGGGGGGGGGGGGGGTGAATTCTCTCTCCGCCCAGGCATGACCCCTTTCAGCTACACTTTGGTTTTTGCTAATGTCTCTAGTTTATGGATATGCCTGTGAGATCACTGTCTGTCCGTCAGTCTGTGAAAGTTGTTTCCCATTTTGGCTTTTTCTGCACACCCTTACTGGGAATTGGAAAGGCTTAATCCAGATTGATTGCCTACGGCCCTGGGGCCGAGAGGAGATGGTACCTGGACCCTTCATGTAGGAGTGGGGACAGCCTGTAAGACTGCTGTCCAGCACTGGGATTCCTGTGGACAGCAATCTCCGGTGTACCTTGTATCCTGTGACTCGCTGGCAGAGTGCTATACAGGTCCAGGTTAGTGAGTCCCTGAGGGGGAGGTCAGGTTCCTAAAGATCCACTGTGTCCCTTAATGTGCTTGTGGTTTCTAGTAATGTATGGACATGGTGAAAGGCTACAACACCATAGCAGTGTTTAAAAGGGAGGGACTGGACTGTAGCATGTGCAGTGACTTTACCATGCTTGTCAGTGCAGGCCCCAGGGTTTCCTGGGTGGTTGGACATGTGTGATCGGTACTGCTTCTGTGATTTTGCACAGCAGCCTTTGGCAGCAAATACTTAATTCACAGGTGTCTCTGCAAATAATGGGACACCTGTTTTGCCATGTTAGAGGAGCATCTTCAGGAAAGGGAGGAGGAGGAAGCTGTTTAGGATCGAGAATACTCTTTGGAGTGCATTCACGAGGAGTTTCAAGGTGTGCAGACGACAATGCTGGGCTTCCTGCCAGACACGATATGAACAAATTTGAAGTGACCACTTTTGGAGTCCATTTCTCCCAAAGGAACACGATTTGCGTCCTGACAGCTGCCTAAGATTTCCAAATCTTTTCCTATGGATCCTTATTTGCAGGAAGTGAGGTACACCAATTGGACTTGCCAAGAGAAAGTGTTCTCACCACCAAAGCGGTTTGCTTAGCAGAACCCCATAGAGGAGGAATTCTACAAGAAATGGGGTTTTCTGGCTGTTGACCCAAGATTTTTCTATTTAAATAAGATCCTGGCAGTCCCAGAGGATGAGGTCCCAGTCTTTAAAGATGCCAAGGATTAGTGGTTGCAGGTCTTCTTTAAGACATCCTCTCTGATGGGAGCAGCTTTATAGCCACTGGCGGCTGCAGTGGGAGTTTGTCAAGTCCTCAAAGTTTGAGCAAAGTATATAATGCCATTTGGCAGTTCCTGGAAGATTTTCCAAGAGACTTGAGTTTCTTGGTGGATTCCTTGAAAGACTCCATTCTTTTCAGGCTAGACAACATCTCTGCCTATATGAGAAGGATCCTATAACTCCAATTTTGGCAAAATTTTGCTGTAGGAAAAAAATTGAGAGAGGCTGTCATTTTGAAAACAAGTGCTTGCTTGGACCATTCTTGGATGCCTTCATCCAGAAGGTGACTGGGTAAAAAAGTATGCTGTTAGCCCTAAAGAGGAAGGTGACATGACAAACTGGTACCACCTTTAAAGTCCCAGATGTGTTCCTTTTTGTAAGCATTGGGCTCTAATCGGAAACCTGTATTTCAGTTCTCTAAAAATAGCTGGACCCCCCCCCCCCCCCCCCAAAGTCCACTGGGTCCTGAGTCCAGTACTCTTCACAGTGAAGGGGCACTTCTCGCTCATGGTGTACTATTGTACATAGGAGGATTATTTTTCCTGGTGTGAGTCTTGCAAGTTTAATCCCTGACTTCGGGTTTGGTCATTCTGTTTGAGATCTTAATGTCTCAATCCTTGGTAAAAGCTTTCTGCCTGTGCACCCCTCTTTGTCTCAGTGGGGCATTCATTTAATGTTGTCCCTTTTACAGTCTTGATTGGGCCTATTCAGATGAACCCTTTTGTTGCTTCTTTCTGGCTGCCTTCTCCTGCAAGAAATCTCTTCTGATTCTTTTCCAGAATAGGGTAGTGATGAGGCCTCTGCCTTTTTTATTTTTTCTTTCCTTTCCTTTCTTTCTCTCCTTTCTTTCTTTCTCTCCTGCATTCCAATGAAACATAGCCTTACTCTCTGGATGTGGTTCGAGTAGTGCTCTTTCGTATGGCTCTTTGGATGGAGATGTTCAGATTTATCTCAATGCTATAGCTTTGTTTGCTAGTTTGTTTCCCTGTTTGTTCTACCTGAAGGTCTTCGCAAGGACAAGGCTGCTTCTTGATCCATTATTTCTAGGATTCCTGGGCAATTTGGTATTGGACCTCTGTTTATTTTTGTAAGGCTGCTACCTGTGGTCTTGTGTTCACATGTTTACTATGTTTTACCGTGTGTGTCTGCAGATATTTCTGCAAACGGCAATTTTGGGTGAAAGGTGCAGATAACTTATATTGGATTTTGTTCTTATTCTGTTACTGGGTTTTTGGTGTGTGGCCCATGTTGCTGTTGCCCACCCCTCATGTTTAGTGCTTTGGGACACACCAAGTGATAATAAATATGATGACACCCTGGGGTTTATTTACTAAAGCTGGAGAGTCCAAAATCAGACTCCCTTCTGCATAGAAACCAATCAGCTTCTAACCTCAGCTTGTTCAATGAAGCTTTGGCAATGAAACCTGGAAGCTGATTGGTTTCTATGCAGAAGGGAGTCTGATTTTGGACTCTCCAGCTTTAGTAAATAAACCCCCCTGTGTCCTGTGATGTACATTTTAAGAAATTAACATTTCTGGTTTACCTGTTCAATAATTTTCTTGAAGTACATCACAGGAACTAATCCCCTATTTTGTCCTTCAATGCTTACTACAAAATGTAGGCTTTGGCAGGCCATGCATAAATCATTTTTATTCCCTCAACCAGCAGCTTGAACAGAAAAAAAAAAACACATTTGAAGTGGATTGGGGAAATACTCCCGCTGTGATATTGTATTTTACTGGTGGGGAGCCTTCCACTGGCAGAATACAATCATGAATGAAGTGTTGCCAGCTATAGTCAGCAGGACTGATTGTTTGGGAAAAACTGGACAGGCTGGTTTTACACAAGTTGATCAATAGATCAACTTGTATACAACCGGCTAGCCCATACATAGAACAAAATTCGGCTGGTCACTGCTGAACAAGCTGAATTTCGATCCATGTATTGCTGGCTTTAGCTTAGTTGAGCTGTGAGGGGTTATGCCTGGCTGAGGAGCACTGATTTTATTGTTTTTGGTTCAGTCATTGCACTGGCTTGCAAAGCAAGGTACATATTTTCCTACACTGGAGTTTATTGATGTAGGCTGCCTTAAAGTAACACATGATTCAACAAATGTTTACGTGACACAGCACATAAGTTTGAATCCAACCTTAGTGAAATTAAATATAAGCGTGGCTGTGAAAGACAGCACCACCACTTTTCCATTCCTCCAATTCACATAAACAGGTACTGAATTTACGAAGTCTAGAGATACCTCTTTACTAAGCCTCAGACGCTCCTTCCACTGTTCAGCCTCCATGCTGTGCTCTGCTTCCAGTCGCTGTAGCTTCTTTGTTTCCTGTTCTTGCAACGTTCTTAGTTTTTCTTCCTGTGTTTTTAGAAATAAATTTTTAAAAAACCAGTACCAAAAGAGGGTCATTATTCCAATCCTAAAACAATGGCACTTTCCATTTACTGTATAAAAGAAACAAAAAACTGGTATGTGCTTTTACAGGAGCCTGATTCTGAGGCAGTGAACTCTGCAAGTGATTCACATTCTTTCTGCGCAGGGTTAGGCCTCATTCACACAGGTGTATTTAAGGGTACACCTGTGCAAGGGCCTTGGTGGGATGCAGGGGTGTTCTGTGTATCCCCCATGTAGGCAGTCCTATTATACTAAGAAGAGGTATAAAGTGTAGGATGAAAATGGTTCACGGATGTAAGACCTCACAGAATATAAGTATAGGGAAACACTTATGTGAAAACAGGTCGGGAAGAGACATGGAAGATTATGTAATAAAGTGGACACTACTGACAAAACTGTAGAAAAGGATGACTAAACAGTCTACCAAAGAGGACACTGTCAAATAACAGCAGTACATGGGGCTTGTATTGCAGACATTAGGGGGTTTATTTACTAAAGCTGGAGAGTCCCAAATCAGACTCCCTTCTGCATAGAAACCAATCAGCTTCTAACCTCAGCTTGTTCAATGAAGCTTTGGCAATGAAACCTGGAAGCTGATTGGTTTCTATGCAGAAGTGAGTCTGATTTTGGACTCTCCAGCTTTAGTAAATAAACCCCTAGTTGTCTAACACAGCCTTTCTCAACCAGGGTGCCTTGAGGTTTCTTCAGGGGTGCCTTTGCTAAAAATGCCCAAAACATTTGTATACAAACGAGTGGGTAGAACAAGCCTGCCTTTTAGTTACACAAAGCCACAGGTTTTCATTGTGCACCATTACGACCTTCTAGCCGTCGGTGTCCTGACAACCAATGACACCATCAGTTGATAAGGAGGATGTCAGCTGCCTGCACAGCATCCTAATTTGACCCTCCCCATGCCCCTCTCCATCAATGCTGGGGTCACATTAGCTCAGTGATGGAGAGAAACATTGGAATACTAGTCAGTACCAGTGTGCAAAAGTGTGTTTGCTTTAGAATAAATCACCTCTAATGTTGGCTGTCCTACATGTGTGGATGTTGCTGCTAGAATCGTGTTTTGCATTTTAGAATGGTGTACCCTTTTAAAATTATGGACATTTTAGAATGGGATGCCTCAAGACTGTCCATAATTTTAAAGGGTCTAACACAATATGAGCCACCCAGTAAGGCTTTTTTCACACAGGCATAGTTAAGCATATGCTCATGGCAAGGGACACGGTTTCCTGCACTTGGAGGAACAGGTGTTCTATGCATCCCCATGCAGGCAGTCCCATTATTGTCAATTGGGAAGCAGTAACTGAACGGACACAGCCGCTACTCCGAATTTGACAGCCATGTGGGTGCATGCAGGTCCCGCACAGACCTGCATTCGGAGCAGTGGCAGTGTCTGTACAGCAGCTGCGTTGCAATTGACATGAATGGGACTGACTGCATAGGGATACATAGAACACCTGTTCCTCTCAAGGCGGGAAAACATATCCCTTGCCATGGGCATATGCCTGTATGAACAAAGCCTTACTGGATGGCTCATATTGTGTTGCAGACAACTTAGTCTGCAATACAAGGCCCATGTACTGCTGTTAATTGTGTCCTCTTTGGTAGACTGTTTAGTCATTTTTTTTTCCAGTCTTGTCAGTAGTGTCCTCTTTATTAAATAATCTCCTTCCATGTCTCTTCCCCACCTGTTTTCACATAAGTGTTTCCCTATGTTTATTGTCTGTGATGTCTCTGGCATCAGTGAACCTCTTCTTAGAAATGTCTTTTCTGTCACAAGTCTTTTTTCCAAAAAATTAACCCCACTATGTCCTATAAAGTAGGGTATAAACAGAGGTTTTTTTTTTTTTTTTGGCTGAATGCGCTGGTTGAATGCTGGTCTTTCAGTAGTACTGTTTGTTCAACAGAAGCCGGTCTAATGCCCAGCTTCTGTCAGAGGCGTACACACGTACCAAACTTTTCTGGTTCTTGCTGAACCAGCTTAATTTTGATACGTGTAAACCCAGCCTAAAGTGATTTTGAATGTTTTATTAAAAAAAAAAAAAAGTTATACTTACCAGTTATGAGCTGGTCAACACCCCGTATTCTGGGGTTCTCCGCTGGTGCTTTGTGTCTGCCACCATTGGAAGCCACTTCTAAGGAAGCACACCTGTGTGCTTGCTCCTGAGCCAGGCTATGGGCATCCATAGACACACACAGTGCACTTTGGCCCTGCCCCCTCATCACAGGATTTGTCTGAGAGCAGCAGGACCCAACGGCTCCCACTGCTCTCAGTAAAGCCCATTAATGCAGGAAGAAAGCAGAGCAGGGACAATGCTAGATTGAGAGGTGTCAGGTAAGTGTTTGGGGAAGGAAGGGGGAGTGGAGGAGGTACAGACATAAAGGTTTTCACCTTAAAGCCGAGAATGCAGGTGAAAAATTAAATAATTTTTTTTCGGCCTTTAGAACCACTTTAAGGCCCCAATCTGTTCAGGTCTACCTGCCAGTTTTTCAGCCAGACTTATTCAGAAGCTCCATGTTAGCCTGTGGGCAGCTGGATGTAAAGGGAAAAAGTCAAGATTACTTTCAGGTCTGTCCAGAGCCAAAAAAAAAAGAATGGATCAGAGTTTTTTTTCTGACCTGAACTTTAGGGATTAGAATGGGGTCCAGAACGTTCTGTTTTTTCACGTGCCACAAAAAAAAATAAATTATTATTTCGGACACGTCACACAAACATGGCATCCATTTTTCTTTTCCAAATCTGTTAAAGGATCCCCTGCTGAACCAACTGGTCATGGCCCATTCTTAGGCTAGTACTAGTTGCATTCAGTGGGACCTCACAGAACAAGTCTTTGTGCATGTGACAAATTACAGGCTATCCATGCTCAGGATAACTGAGAAGACCTTACAGGTCCTTGCAAGCATACCTAATAAATGTAAAAATCTCACATCAGTTGTTAAGCTTGGCATCAGTCAATGCTTGCAGACTGGATGCTATTAAAATACTTAAAAAAAAAACATTCTTGAAAGATTACAGTTTTAGGAAAGCTTGTAGAATAAAGTTGCCAGTTCACACCAGATGTAGTCTAGTGCATTTTTTTTCTGCATCAACAATGCATGGAAAGTAGGTTGATGGGTTCCAGTGGTATAGTTCACACCAGTGCAGTCAGTTCCAGAAAAAAAAAATACAACATGCTGCATTTTTACTGTATTAGAATGCACCTGACCTCAGTACAGAGAAAAAAACATCTGGAATGCATTTGGAAATGCATCGAAAAAGTGTTTAAAAACGTGCATGCAGAAACACATCCAGAACAGATCTGGAGTGCGTTTTTGTGGTGTGAACCAGCCCTAAAAGAATAAACAGATCTTACTTGTATCTGTGTCAGTTCCTTAAATGTCTCTTCCAGATGTTCCTTGAACTTCTGCAGTTCCTGTTCTTGCCTCTGCTGCTGCTTTTGAGTCTCCTCTTTCTGGCGGGCAGATTCTTGCTGCTGAAACTAGTTTAAAAATGTAAAGAGACATATTCTAGTACACAAAGTGTGGCTTTACCCTTCACAAAATAAATAATCTGGCTTTCTTTCTTGTTCATTGAGGGACACAGGAATTCAGAGTCTGTCGGATTATATGACCACCTCCAGGAGAATAGGACACTGCCAAACGAAAAAAAAAGTGACCAGCATGCTCTATCCCTTCCTACTCCCAGCATTCTTGGGTTTCTCAATTGTATATCACAGGATAGTTAATTTTTTTGGCTTGGGGTATTCTCCACCTAGGTAATTGTATATTTATTTATTACAGGTACTTTTATAGCACCAACAATTTTTGCAACGCTTTACATATATATTGTACATTCACATCAGTCCCTTTACCCCCAAGGGGTGCACAATCTAAGGTCCCTAACTTACATTCATACACATACTACGGCCAGTTTAAGCAGGATTCGTTTAACCTATAAGCATGTCTTTAGAGTGTGGGAGGAAACTGGAGTACCCAGAGGAAACCCACGCAGGGAGAACATGCACACTCCAGGCAGGTGGTGCCATGGATGGGATTTGAACCAAGGACCCTAGTGCTGCCAGGTGAAAGTGCTAACCATTTAGCAACTGTGCTGCCCACATTTATAAATAACAAAGCTTGACACCACCCAGCTTTGCTTCCGCTTTTTTTTTTCCCAGGAGGTGTCAAAAGGTGATGGACCCATCTCACTCTTGCCTAGAGACTTTTCTGATTTGCTACATTAATTTCTACTTAAACTGCCTTTCTCTGCTGAGGCGAGGTGTCCCATAGCAGTAACAATTTTCCAAGTAGGTCTCTACATATGCTTAATATCCTGATGGGACAATTCCCGAACACTGGGATGGCCTGAAAGCTGCTGTAGTACTGCATCCTGCATGTGGCACTCACTTCATCAGGTGGTTCCATTTGTGAATTAGCTGGTGGGGTGCTTTTACAGGTCCAGAGCTGTTGTCTGAGGCAGCACAGCCCAGTCCCTGAAGACCCTATTGGGTATGCCTTTTTCCTGTAAGGAGAAGATTGAGATGGTTTTCTGGCTCTGCTCTGTATTGCATGTTAAGTGCCCTTGTTGTGGCAGGGCTCCTGGTGCTGTCTCCCTGCCTTTCTGTACCCATGAGCACTGTAAGTGTACATTAGTACAGGGCATGCATGCCACCCTGTTTTGGGCACACTGATTCCTCCTCTGAGTCTGTCTCCTGTGCAAGCATGACCTGACTCTGGCATCTGGCAGACCAGGAACATGGGTTTTCTTCCCTCCACAAGTTTATGGGTCAGCAAACTGGCTTTGGCTCTCAGGTGACATCTTACTTCTCATTAACTCCTTCAGGAGCTCCATCCTCAGGAACCTTCATGTCCAAGAAGGAACTTTCAGCCACATTCTCCACTGTGTTGGAGTAGTTGGCAGATATCTGTAAATATATGCAGAGCGATAACAGTAAAAAGTGTTTATCTCTGTCCCCAGAACAGCTTCTTGTGAGTTTTCCCTGCCACCCTTTTTTGGGGTGGAGGCAGGGTCTGAAAAAGCAGACTTCTCTGAGGAGAACACCAGGGGGTTTATTTACTAAAGCTGGAGAGTCCAAAATCAGACTCCCTTCTGCATAGAAACCAATCAGCTTCCAGGTTTCATTGCCAAAGCTTCATTGAACAAGCTGAGGTTAGAAGCTGATTGGTTTCTATGCAGAAGGGAGTCAGATTTTGGACTCTCCAGCTTTAGTAAATAAACCCCCAGGTGTCTCATGTGTTTCAATCTCAATGTTTCACAGTGAGTGTTTTCAGAATGGTTCTGTAAAAACATAAACTGTAGTTACTGGAACCCTCAGGACCTAATGTATCAGGAATGGGGTCGGTCTTGAAAAGCACCAAACCTCCTTTCCAGTGCATCCTATTTTAAAAGGACCTGTACAAGGACTGGGCCGATCCAAACAAAGATATTTGCACCCCCTAAGCAGTTTGTGAAATAATAAAATAATGATGAAAAACAGTTTCTGCAAAAAGTGGGAAGCCCCTATTGTGGACCCTGAAATGTCTTATTTTAATGAGACCCTTACTGTGCTGATGGACGATGTACTGGTGTACCCAAGAACCCTGCACCCTTTTTTAAGGCATTCTTTCAATTGGTTTGTGTTCCCACCTGTTTACACTGCCCAAGCCAAATGTATGGCCCATTGTGGACCCGATGTACTTGAACATGTTTTGACATGATCAAATATTCCAGAGAGAATATGTGAGTTCAGTGGTGGATTTCCAAGCCTCAGTGGATGTCAAAGATGCCCACCTTTCCATCCTTTATATTTCCATTTCTTCAGCACTACCTGCAGTTTGCAGTGGGGGGAACAACATTTTCAGTTTGTGGGTCTGCCTTTTTGCCTAGTCAAAGCACCGTGATTGTTGGCTGTTCTGTGAGCCCAGGGGATCCCTACTAAGTTAGATCTGGTTGATCTATTCCTTTGTGAACAAGAGCCTCAGGGCCAATGTGCAGCACACAGTGCCAGTCCTGCAGGACTTTGGGTGGATCCACAATTTACAAAATCATCCCTAGAGCTATTGCACTAGCTGGAATATCTGGACCTCATCCTGAACACTGCTCTGGCATGCATTTTCCTTCCCCAGGAAAGGCTTTGGTCCATTGTAGGAGAGTTGAGTTCTCTGGAACGCCCCTCCATTTGTTCTGCATGAGGGTACTGCAGTTGATGGTAGTACAGTCCTGTACATGCAGTTTCATTTAAGACTGATGTGTGAGACAAAAGGACTCTGTCCCTGGATTGCCATATGTCTATACACACCAAAATCAGGTTATCCTTGGAATATTGGCTATCCAGCCTGGTTCTGGAGTTGGGGAAATCTTGTTTTCCCGTTATGTGGAAAGCGCTGAGAGAGAGAGAGAAGGTATTCCAGTGATTCTCATTGCACCCAGTTGGCTCAGTAGGGCTTGGTTCTCATAGACATAGACTTCTAGACATAGACTTGTTTCCAGCCCATCAGTGATTCCTATGATTTACTGTGAGCACTCAACACGTCCAGTTTGTAGCCTTGCCTTTTAGCCTGTTATCAGCACCACAGGTGTTCACCTATGCTAGCCTTGCTGCCCTCTCAGGATATCTCCACTGAGGGATATCTGGACAATCTTCTGCTAAAGAAACAGTCATCCCCTGCAAAGCTGAACACCCCAGATGGAGGGTCATTCAATCTGGATTAAGTTGGACAATGCTACAGCAGTGGCATACATGAATCATCAGGGGGTAACCAGAAATCTTGCCATGGTCAATGAGGTAGAAAGAATTCTGTCCTGGGCAGGGGTGGACATTTGGCTGGCAGCACACCCAGGGGAATGGCCCTTACACCTGGAAAACTGGGTAGGTTTGTCTGCAGGAGCAAAGATAAACTGGCAGAAACAGAGGATTGCTCTGAGGGATCAGCACACCCTGATCTTTCCTTCTCTGAAACTCCTTCCTCCTCTGCTTTGCATGATCAAGCTGAAGGGCATTCTGCTGATTCCTATAGCTCTGGACTGGCCCAGGCAGTTGTTCTACTCTAACGTGATCAGACTACTGGCAGATGCGCCATTGGCTTCAGATCATCTGGATCTTTTGTCCCAAGAACTGACTTTATTGGTGAGTTACACCATTTCATGTGGAAGGTATATTTTGCCTGGTGCGAAGGAAGAAATAATCCCAAAACATTTACAGCAGAATGGATTCTATCCTTTCTGTAAATGGATTTGGATCAGCAGCTATCCCTGAGTATAATCAAGGGGCAGACTTCAACACCTGTGATCTTGTTCCAGAGACTTTTAACATCCCACTCTGAGACCTTCATACAGGCTGTTTCTGGCTCTGGTTTATCAGAAAAAGATCACCCTCCATTACCTGGATGCAATTTGTGCTGTGGATGTCTACCTTGCAGTCACTAATTCTATCAGAAAGACTATCTTTGTCATCCTTTGTTGGCTGCGCAGTTGCAGAAAACTGCAGCTACCGTCAGCCTGTCATTGTATTGCATGGGCTGAGTGGCCTCAGCTATTCGCACACACCTGTCATTCCAGATGAAGGAATCCACACATTTTTGCTACTTTTTTTTTCAGTGTGTGCTAATCTCCTGTGTGAATGGAAACTTAATGTTTTGTTGCTGTTGTCCACAATTTAGGCCTCTTTCACACTGATGGCCTGATTGGGTCCACCTGACCGTTTTTCAGGTGGCTCTGATCAGACCATCCATAGACCTCTATGGACTGGTGGGCGTCAGTGGACAAGTGTCTGTTGAAAACAGCAGAAAGAATAATTAACGAGCGCTTGGAGATGGATAGCAAGCAGCTGGCATGAAAGGCACAAACCTCAAAACCTTCACACTATAATAACAACACATGCAGCGCTACAAATGGTTAATATAAAGTAACATATAAGGTAATAAGTGATGGGCTACTGGTGCTTAGTGGTGATTGATAAGTGTCCTCATAACATGATACAATAGTCCCAATAAGCCGTGCAAAAGTGGTTGACTCCGTGCTGAAAAGTGTCTAATATTATGCACTCACCAGAAAGCGCATAATATGCGCATTTGAGTTGTCAGACCACTCCTGGTCCTGGAAAGCTGAAACAGTGTGGATCATCTGGCAAGCTGTCACTCTGATGGGGATAACCTTTTCCTTGGCCAGCAGGGGGATTCCAGACATCCAGAGACCCTTAATAGCACTGATCCAGGTTCCTCACCCAGGGCACTCATATGAGGTATCCACCTTAAGAGAGGGGGGGCTTGACCAAAAAGCCCACCCGAAAAAAAAAAAAACACTGATAGTGTAGTACGTTTCAAAAAAATCCTTTATTGCAGAGTAAAAGACAGGTCACTCACAGGGTTTCCCAGAGTCAAAGATGGCCGCCGGCCTCCATGAGGTACGGAACGGCGTGACGTCACCGGCTAGGCTCCACCCTGACGCGTTTCGTGCGGACGAGCACGTTATCAAAGGGAGCGAGCACTAGCCGGACAAACT